TTCCGGGCGATGGATTGTCACAAATTCTAGGAATACGGTTCCTATGTTATTAATTCCCAAGGCTGGACAAAAAGACTCACTTCGAGTTGTATTTGACCTTCGTGCTCGGAATGCTAACACATATAAGATGGCTTTACCGCTTCCGAATATTGAGGGAATTCTTCGTCGTGTTGCCAAATGCAAGTATCGCAGCATTGTGGATGGCAAGGATGCATATGAGCAGATCCGTATTGTGCCGGAGCACGTACCACGTAGTACCGTTACTACACCTGATGGAAATATGGACAGTCAGGTCATTCAACAGGGGGATTGTAATGGTGGGGCTACATTTCAAACAGTCATGAATGACTTATTCTCATCCATGATAGGTGTATTCATGGATGTATACCTAGATGATATTGTGATCTATTCTAATACTCTGGAAGATCATATCAGGCATGTTAAGATGGTCATTGACATTCTTCAGCGAGAACAGTTTTACCTGAATGCAAAAAAATTGAATTTCCTCCCTCGCGAATTGAAGATCCTTGGACAAATAGTTGACAACGCAGGTATCCGCATGGATCCCGATAAGGTCAACTCCATATTGAAATGGAAGGTACCTACATCAAAAGAAATGTTGTCAGGGTTCCTCGGTGCTGTCGGCTACTTGACAGATAACTTACCTGGCATTCGAGGACCTATGGGTATTCTTCATACACGTACCGGCGCCGCCGTACCTTTTCAATGGACTTTCACTGAACAACGGGCCTTTGAGGATATCCAACGAATCACTCACCAGTGGCAAAACCACTCCCGTGTTCCATTAGACTACTCCACAGGTCACAAACCTATTTGGATTGTAACCGACGCAAGTTCCGCTAGTATCGCGGGTTTCGTATGTCAAGGCACCAACTGGCGTAGGTCTAAAATTGCCGCATTCTTCTCCGCAAAGTTGAACTCGGCCCAACAAAACTACGCTGTCCACGAACTGGAGATGCTGGCTGGTGTTGAGACCATGCTACGGCATCGGGACATTCTCCAGGGTACGAACTTTACCTGGATAACTGATCACAAGGGGTTAGTACATCTCCTGAAGCAAAAGAACCTGTCCGGACGTCAGGCTTGTTGGATGGAAAAGCTCGGGGAATTTGATTTTACCATTGAATATGTCCCGGGTGAGGAAAACATCCTGTCGGATGCACTATCTTGCATATACCTCAATGATGCACCTGGTACCGTCAGGGCAGCATCAGAATACACCTTGTTTGATGACAATTCAGACAACTCGCACCTTGGTTTGCATTCTGTGTCCATGCCCGTGTTCACAGGCCAAGAAGCTCGTAACAAACGTGTCCGGAAACCAGTTGAAACTGCTGATACAGGGCGGCCCGAAACCTCGAAGGAGTTTGCAGCACGTATGAAGGGTCGTGTCCGCTTTCTCGCGCCTCGAAAACGCGGCCAGGAGGGCGCGGGTACGACAGGTATCTTACTTACAACAAAATCAGACAAAAAATCGGATTTTAACATGGATTATATTGAAAATAATGTATCTGTGGATGTAGAGAGTCAGCCTAAACCCCCTTCTTCAAATGGGAAGCTCACAATAAAGCTCCCTGCTCGTCCTAAGGTGCCAGCACATCGAAGTCAAAGAGAAAAGGCAGATGGACACACACAAGAACATGTGTCCAAAGCTAATTCAACCTCGGGAACGAACCCCGGGCTTCCCGCGGGAAAGGCACCTGACTCCGTTAATTCAATAACGGAATTGGACTCTGGTCTTTCCGATGCGACTCTCATCAGTGTTCTCAGCAAAACTAATGATAATTTTGACCTTTACTCTGCCCTCAAAGGAAGATACAAGGAGGATCCCCTCTTCAAGAAGATACTTGAGTCTCCAAAGGATTACCACAACTTTGAGGTGATTAATGACTTGATTTACCTAAAGCAGAAGGAAACTCGTGTTCTCTGTATTCCTAGAATCATTATAAATGGCCGAAGCATTCAAGAAATCATTATTGCTGAAGCTCATTCTCTTTTGGCTCATCTTGGTGCCTCAAAGACATTGGATTATTTGAGAGACCATGTCTGGTGGAAAGACATGGTTGCTGACACGAAGTCATTTTGTGAATCTTGTCATGTTTGCAAGCTCAGCAAACCAGACAACACGAAGTCATATGGTAAGCTTCATCCTCTCGAGATCCCATCATACCCTTGGGAAGCTATTGGTGTGGATTTCGTGGGTCCACTCCCGCAGTCAAAGAACCGTGACAGCTCATTTGATTCAATCTGTGTTATCATTGACTTACTAACCTCCATGGTTCATTTAGTGCCATGTAAGACTACATACACTGCACGTCAGGTTGCCGAACTCATGTTCGAGCATGTATACAAACTCCATGGGTTGCCTAAACGAATCATCAGTGACCGAGACTCCTTATTCACCAGTATATTCTGGAAACGACTTCACGAGCTCATAGGTGTTAATCTTCATATGTCCAGTGCTTACCACCCTCAGTCCGATGGTGCTACTGAACGTGCTAATCGGACTGTCACTCAGATGCTTCGGCAGTGTGTTTCAGCCACTCAGAAGGATTGGGTCTCAAAATTGCCCGCTATTGAGTTTGCTATTAATTGCGCTCGTTCAGAATCTACTGGTTACACTCCATTCATACTCAACAATGGCCGTATGCCTCGTTCTATGGTTTGGAGTTCTGACCTCAGCAATGAATACCCCTCAGTCCGGACTTTTGCTCGTTTATGGCGATTAGCTATTATGGCTGCGCATGACTGCATTCTCGAAGCTCGAGTCAAACAAACTCGCGCCGCAAATAGAAAACGTCGATTTGATCCCTTCAAGGAAGAGGATTTGGTCTATGTATCCACAAAGAACCTAACGTTCGAGAAAGGTCTGGCCCGAAAGCTTATACCGAAGTATATTGGTCCATTCAAATTTACCAAGGACTTCGGAAACCACTCATTCCGTGTCTCTCTTCCAAACCATTTCATTCAGCGAGGAGTACATCCTGTTTTCCATTCATCCCTCTTGCGTATTCATGTCCCTAATGATGACCGACGGTTCCCGGGTCGACTTGATACACAGCTTCATGAATCTCCGGTGGCTCAGCCTCAATGGCGCATCGAGAAAATTTTGTCTCACACTGGGTCTCGGAGACATGCTATTTTCCAAGTTCAGTGGAGTACGGGTGACATTACATGGATGCCATTTGCTGAGATTAGCCAGTTACCCTGTTTACCAGAGTATCTCGAGCTCCTGGGATTACAAACCATTGACCAGCTGCCGAAGGGAGCTGGTACTGTTCCTGAGGAAGTCAGCATCGAGATGGGCATCGCATCCATACGGTTTCAAGTTTTTGATCTTTGCGACGGATTTGAAAATATGAAGTTTTCACCTTCGAGTTCCTCTTATAATTCGGACTCGCTTTCAAATCCCTTCCCCTCATCTGTTTACCAACATTCATTACCAGCCTCGCCTCATATCTCGCACTCTTCTCTGCCTATTTTGCCTCACCCCATTATGGCGCCTCTCGAATTCCAACATATCGAACGTCAGAGCCACAGTAAATTTGCTCTTGTTGCAAAGAATGATGATGGCGACAAAATCGTATTCTCTGCTCAACAGGTTCAACTCTATGTCTACTTCGATAAAAATCTCCGTTGTATGCAGAAACGCATTGGTTATACTCCCATCGGCTATCACTCCTTCGCCTCTGAATTTAACAAGGAAGATCTTCCTTACAAATTTGCCTATTGGGATCATGCTAGCTTCCACGAGCCTACCATCACTAACCTCAATACCCAATCTCCACCCATGTCTATCTTCAGCATCAAGGAGTGGGAATGCTTTGCTCCGAATAAGGCAGTTCGCCCTGGTTACGAGGAAGTTCTCTCTACGGAATACCGAGAACTTTGTAGCATGGCTTTGGAGCAGGCCCGAGGTGCTACTAGAGGACGTCGTAAAGCTGAAGTTCGGAAGCAGGAAAAGAAGAATGCTGCGGCCGCTGCCGAGCATAAAAAGACTGGGACTCTCCACTTCCACAGTGGTCCCAAGAATGCCGGTTCGAGTTCCCGCTCCTAAACTCGTTTCAATATCCACGTCGTATTGACGTTCCTCACTCGTTCCTTGTCTATGTGTTTATTTTACATTGCCCTTGACTTCTTTTATATCTTACTTCGTTCACATTGACTCGTACTTTATGTTTACTTATTTTGTGGTCTTCTGCGACGACCAGGAGGGCGTATGTAACAGTACGGATCATTCCTGATCCGGACCGACCCCGACTCGTATATAAGGACTGTATGTTTGTAGAGTAGCGTTAGTTCTCTTCCAATCGCAGCGCTATCCCTGTCATTGCGAGCGACTCTCAGTGTGACTACGTCACAAAAAGCAAGCTCCCTCAAACACGATTTTATGATCAACACTGGGTAACGTACATGACTTGAACACTGGACAATTTTCAAGTACAGCAATGCTACGCGACCTACGTCTATCTCAATATCAACAGTTCAATACGATGTAAACATTTCATACCATAAAATAAGTATACATGTCTCCAGCAAACAACAACTTTCCGTATGTAACTACACGAATGAACCATACTTTTACTCCGGATGCACATTGAAAAGTGATTTGTTCTTACGTCGGACCATATTGACGCTCAGAGTCGGGGACTTGCCGTGCCAGCGCGGCACTAAGGATCTATACTCAGAGAGAAGTGTAAATGCATCGCGTCTGTCATACACATTGTGATGAGGATGAATCATGACGAAGAGTTAGGAAAAATAAGTTGTACTACCAGGAGATTTTCACTAGACCTCTTGGTCTCCTAGCTGTTCTTGACAGTGACTTTGAGTGAGCATTCCTTGTCAGAGTTCTGTAATTGACGACCCATTACTCTTTGGACTTGTAAGTGGCGGCTGAGGGCGGCTGAGGGCGGCTGAGCGTGGGAGCGTGGATGAAAAAAGCAGGCGCCTTTTGAAGCGCTTATCTGATTTCGATCATGACTGGCACCAATCTTCATGGTGCCGTTACCTGTGAACTCCAATCTGCTTCTTCCATTGGTGCTCAAATTCTCAAAGAAGGCGGCAGCGCTGCAGACGCCATTATCGCCACTACACTCGCTGTCGGAACCGTCGCTTCTTACCATTCTGGTATCGGCGGAGGAGGATTCGCTATAGTGAGACAGCCCGATGGAAATTATCGAAGTTTAGATTTCAGGCCTGCAGCTCCGGTACTTCGGTTATCATCATATCATAATATGTATTGAATTCAATCTGATGCTCGTTACAGGCAGCGCTGACCTCCGCCATGTTTGTCGGAAAACCTGGAGCCACTGCTGTTGGAGGACTTTCTGTGGCAGTACCGGGTGAAATCAGAGGTTTCGAGGAACTACACAAAAGATACGGGAAGCTACCCTGGAAGCGGTTATTTCAACCGAGCATCGAGCTTGCGAGAAACGGGTTCCTTTTCACTGAAGATCTTTTGCACGTATGTCCTGCATATATGATCCTCACATTCAATGAATAAATTATTTGTTTAGATAATACGGTCGAAAACTGTCCCCAAAGATGTCAATTCAAACTCGTCCGATCGTGACCTGGCCCAGTCTTGGATTCTTACACATCCTGTACTCCGTGAGATGTACGCCAAGAACGGCGCATTTCTTCCTGTTGGCGCAACACTCACAAGACCGAAGCTCGCTCATGCACTTGAAATTATCGCTGAGGAGGGTGCAGATATATTCTACGAAGGGCAGTTAGCAAAGGATTTGGTAGAGGCTGTCGCTGCCGAAGGTGGTGTCATGACTTTGAATGATTTGAAGAGTGCGTACTATCTTTTCGCCTAATTCAGATTCGGTTTATGTTGAGCTAATATTCAAGCTCATAGACTACAAAGTTCAGGCTACAAAGCCTCTCAGCGTTGATTACAAGGGCAAGTTCAAAATAACTAGCTCTCCTGCTCCTGCTTCTGGCGGTGTGTTTTTATTGGCATTGAACATATTATCGAACTACCCTGACATAAGTGGTCCTGGGACTCTTATGGACTCTCATAGGTTGATAGAGAGCTTGAAGGTAAGTGATATGCCCCTCGTTTGTGATTTGTTGCGAAACCAAATAACGTCTTTTCCAGTTTGCCTATGCCCATCGTACTCTCCTCGGAGATCCCAGTTTTATTTCTGACCTTGAGGCTGTTCAAAACGAATTTGTGAAACCAGCAACAGGAAAGGATCTTCACTCTCAGATCCTCGCGCATAGCACGCTACCTTCTGAAATGTACAGCCCAAACAGGTGAGTCGAGAAGTTATATTTAGCGTATGCTCTGTTTTGATTAAGTACAGTCCTCAGAATCAACGCTAACATAAAACCTGACCATGGAACAAGCAACATCGTCGTAGCGGATTCCGATGGTCTGGTTATCTCGATCACAACTACAATAACACTGTGAGGCTTTTCCTCTATGACCTGATAGAGATGAGGCTCATCTGGTGCACCTTTGACTCTACAGCTGGTGGGGCTCTCGTATTGTTGTTCCCTCATCCGACATTGTGCTCAACAATTCGATAGAAGATTTCAGTGTCGAAGGTTAGCAACTCCCCTTCCTCCTACGAATAGATAATATCTCATCATGTCCACAGGCCAATCGAATCATTTTGGATACCTTCCTACCCCAGCTAACTATGGTGAGAGCCACCCTGAGTACTTTATCTATCTATTTCACCCACTAAATTCATCTCTCAGTCAGAGGAAACAAAAGGCCGCTCTCATCCTCTTCCCCGTTTATCATTGAGGATTCGGAAGGACGGTTTCGTTACGCGGGAGGTGCTGCTGGTGGAAGTCGAATAATCAGCTGTAACGTTCAACAGGCGCGGAATTTCATGGTCAGCATATTCAAAATCACTAGTGTATGTATTTGCGTCTTTGAACTGATGCATTCGTCTTCGTAAATAGGATTACGGAATGAATCCCACTCAAGCTCTGGCGCATCACCGACTACATGATCAGATAGCTCCTGACGAAACACATTTGGAAATGGGGCTTGTTGATGAAGAAATAGCCGTGAATTTGAAGAGAATGGGGCATAATGTTAAATGGATACCTAGTGAGTTACAGCCGTTATCCTACCTGGTATATTGATTCTAACGAATAAATTGTTTGCAGGGGCTGAAAGTGTGGGTTGTGCAATCTCTTATGATCCTGACACAGGTGTTTATCAGGCAGAGGGGGAACCCAGGCTTGTTGGGTCTGGGGGACAGGTGGTATAGTAATCATACAAGTACAGTATTCTGACTCAAGAATGGGCCATTTGGAATTTACTCTGTTTCTCCTTGTAGTATCTTCACAAGCCTCATTTTCTCATTCCATAGGTCGTCTGTAGACCAAGTGATATCCTTATCCTCACCAAGCTTCAAAACTTCTTGCACACTCCTTGATGAGTGCTCCAAATCCATAATCTCCGTGTTAACCTTCTTCAACCAGTCCTTTGCAACTCGCACTTGATCTGCCTCTAAGTCTGGTATACGAAGATGCCACAGGTAGCTATCGCCTCCGTGAGTCACGTATCCTAAAAGAACAGGATTTTCTGAATAAAATGATATCGAAAGTACTCAAGAGTGTACATACCACCTTCTGGACGTAGTTGCTCCGGAGTCCAAGCTATCTCATACCTCAACACTGGAAACCCTGCCCTATGCAAATCCCTCGTGAACACCCGGACAGGTAAATGTACCTGCCAATCACTTAAGATTTCCCCAAACAGCCTTGTACACTCCCCCTCTCCCGCGTCCTCCCCCAATGTCCGATACATCCTCATCATCTTCTCTACCATTTCCACTGGATAGTATCTCTCCAAATTAACGATTATATCAGCTGGGGTGGGGATGGGGTGCGCTATGGAATACAGATACCATTCCTCTGTGAGGTCCCCAATTACGATGCTTTTCACACCTTTCTTTGTGAGGTTAGTAGCGAATGCTCCAGAGCGTTGCCAGGTCATCAGGTCTGGGGAGGAAGCCATCCAGGAGATGTTGTCCACGCAGCCGCGGAATGTACCGTACTCGTTCCCGAGCGCGTCTGTTTCGATTAATTCGCAAATTTTGGACGCTGGGACGAGGGAGGGATCCTGTAGTGTCTTTAGAATGTTTGGCGACTTAGGGTCCAGGTCGAGAGCATAGCACAAAGCTTCAAATTGAGGCCGGAGCTCAGCGGGCGTTTTGGGTACCATCCTATATAAGTTAGATCAGCCACTGAAGGTTCAGTATTATTCAGCCCCCAGTCGTGGGACGTACACAATGGCATTGGACATAAGGATAGCGGATTGGAATGGGGAGTCTGCAGCCTCTGGTAAGCGAGAAACATGGTGTAGGATTTGGTGAACGGAATGTGCTCCTGCCATATCTCATATATCAGATCCGTCTCGTAGTTATACACCAAATGGTCTCGTACCGGCAGATAGGCCTACGACTGTGATATCTTGTGGATTACCTATGTGCTTGCAATATAAGCTTCTACTGTAAATTTTAAATGGGTGGTATACTAGTGCGCACCACCAAACACACTGATATTCTTCTTCACCCATTCTAGCGCAAGCCATTGATCTTTGAATCCGTAATTTCCATCCAAACGCGGTTCGTCGCTCGCCAGAAAGCCAAAGGCTGATAATCGATACCCGATATTGACTCTGACCTCACTTAGCTCAGCAGAAACAAACTGATCCTGTCCTCGTACTCCATGCGGGGATCCGAATTGCAAGAAGCTGCAAAGGAAATTGAAAAATTGCTTCAAAGTGCATCGAGTATCGGCTCACCCTCCATGTATGTATATCTTGACCGGAAAGGCCTGTGCAGATGATTTGGGTTTGAAGGACGGCGGGGAGATGATATTCAAAAACAGACTGTATCAAATTAGTCAGTCAAGTGTGACGCAGACAACCTTTTACCTACGGATTCTCTGTGGGCTTCCCATAACCTACTTTATCTACGAAGGGAGTACCTGCAAGGAATTCGGAATTCAACGTTCAACACGAGTTCATCAACAGCTACTATACAAACCGCTTGCTTGGCCATCGTTACGGGGTTGAAAACCATCTAAAACATTGACCTGAATACGCTGAAGATGAATAAAATGAGGGGAGTGAGGATACTAACAACTAGACTCCGTAAGATACTCTTTGCCAGAGGGATACTTGTGATCATCTGGAAGAGGCTCCGCATCCGCAAAACGAACCGGAGGTAGTGCGTAAGGTATCTCTGTCAAGGAATTGAGCTATCGTCCTCCACTATATACAGGTGCATGGTCTGTCTACCACTTCCGACACAAATATGGGAAAAGAAGGAAATCGAGTGATTTTAGTATGATCACATAGGACCTACCAAGAAACACAGCAGCCCCATTACTAGCTCGACCTCCGATCACCTTTCCATACCGTGTATCAACCGTCAACCGCGCAGAACTAGCGATTAGCTCGTCATGTAGATGTGCCATGGTCCAGTTGTACAAAGTAGATAAAAAAGATGAACATCGTGAGTAAAAGCACCTCACGGTGTATTGAATCGGATTGAGATTTCTGACTCTCATCGCAACTACAGGATTTTACTTTAGATGGACAACACATATCTCCTTTTCCTATCCGTATTCGATTCACATCCTGTACTAGAAATTTCAGAAAATCGAGTTCTGCCTTAGTGCCTAGCACATCTAGTTATACCTCTAATCCCCGAGGCATCTTTGCGCCTTCTACCGGTTTGACCTTGGCTCTGAACTCCTTTGCCATCTGAGCTGTTGTGACCCAGTGGACGTTGTCATGCGTATTCACCCACTCAATGAATCGTTCCTGCAAACGTGCTTCCGTCAGTCCCGCTGTCACTCTGAAAATGGTTAGCGCTCAGCACTACTGCTTCACTCACCAGCATGAGAAGCACATGAGGCCGTCTTTTGTAAGGCAATCACAAGTTGTTAGTCTGCGATAACATGAGAGATATTAACCGAATTAGGCGTACCCGCTGACATCCGGATGGATGGTGATAGGAAAAATGAACTCTTCCTCTTCCCTAGTGTACCGTGTTAAAATTTGACCTCGATCTGATTCTTGATGGAGAACAGACCTGTAGCAGTATGTGAACATGTCCTTCCACAGTTGCTCAACGTCTCGAGTGTTAACCTAACACAAGTAGTATTAGGTCTATCCTTGGGTAGATATCTTCGATGAACTCACCCAACCGTGCGAGTTAGGACTCGATTTCATGAACCTGGACAATTTGAGTATTATCGAAGAAGGAAATAAAGCGTCACAGCGACGAACATACATCATAGGAGGAAGGTCGTCGAGGTACCTATGTAATTGAACGTTATTGAGCAATCTATCACTGTAATTCAGAAGAAATTTGAGCGCACCAGCTCACTGGGATTTGTACTATGAATGGATCGCTGTCAGCGCAGTCTTGGTGGGCTGGAATGAACCACAAACCGAGTCCAGTTTCTTTACCCCTCCGGAGCGGTTTCATCCACGTCGCAGCCTCCTCTTTGAAGTCAATCTTGGTCCAAGTATCCTCGTCTCGCATATAATACGCCTGGCAACTGTGGAAGTATGTAAGCGAAAGGAAAATGATCAGTAGATTGATGTTTGAATCCAACTCAACTCGTGAGCCATTCCAGAATGGTCTTAACAATGGAGGGCGATTTATTAGCGAGGTGGGATGCTCAGTGAGTAAATTAATACCGTATTGAATACCCTTCTCGAGTAAGAGATTGACACTTTCTTGACTTTGCTCCCACCAAGGAGCTACACTACCCTGCGTCACGACTCAATACCTATCTTTCGAAAAAGGAGCCAAAGACCGTACTATGGGAGGCTTTCCGTGATTAAAATCGGTCAAGAGCTTGAACGTATGATCCAGCACGTCGCGTTGCTGTTCTTGAGTCATCGAAACAGGGTTCTATTGAACCCATCGTCAGTTCGTGCCGATATAATAAAGCATGAATCTCACTTCGTGGGAGTATCCATGTAGTCCGCTGTTTACACAGTGAGTTCCGACTATCTGTGGTATAGTCAGGTTACTTACATTTCGTGACCTGCATCCCGGGCTGCAGCCATTTGCTCAGGAAATGTCTCCAAGCTATGACCTGTAAAGCGACTCGGGACTAAAGCACCGATAGAAATACAGACAATCGCAATTACCAGGAATGAAGAAGGTGGTCTTCATGTCATACTTTCGAAACAACTTCAGGAGGCGAGGAACGCCGACTTCACCAGCGAACATCCCCTAGAATTTCTTGGAAGTAAGTTGCACAGTTACATTGAACCATCTTACTTGTACTCACCCGGGATATGTCTGAGGGAGAGTCTGGGATGAAGTTGAGCAGCATATTATTGAGACGTTAGCAAGTCAACCTTCTCCGCCATAAGATCCAAGCCTATAAATGTAGATTTAGTGAGCATTCGGTCAAAGGTACTATACGCGTTCACCCACCAACCGGCTACAGCATCAATATCAACACCAAAACCAATTAGGACGCGCTTAGCAGGCATAATGTCCAAAGTCAAGAGGGGAGGAGTTGATTCGAGCGACGATAGCCTGGTCACTATGCTCTCAGATATAGTCACAAGCTAAGGTACAGCCTTGGGAAAAGTATCTCCACCGATACAGTATCGCATGATCGGTCGCTGGAGTGGATATTCAGCTATCTTGGGTATGTCATATCACAAGGATGAAGAAGCGCTTTTGCTTTGCAAAGTCTGCTATCGAGACTCATCGAGTCAGTGTGAGTGAAGAGAGCCTAGAAAGAGCAGCGACTATTTAAGCGCTCGAATTTGCTGGCGTGGTGACACCTCTCTCAGTCTCTCTCATTTATGATCAGTGACAGTAGTACAATCTACTTGTGTACATATTGGAGTATATTGCGGGAGAATACTGCAATGTCGTGTGGAAGGGATGACGATATCTCCGTTTATCTCAGAATTCAATAAGTAAACCTTCGGACATTATCTACATGTAAGTCGCAAATTCTCATGTCCGAATTTCTTTCTGCTTATCAACACCTTGGATAGTTTTTTGTGACCCTCTCCAACATGGAATCCCTCAAGACCGAAAAGAACAGATCCTTAGAGGTGGCAACCGAAACCGACGGTGTCTCCCTTAGACATGCGGACGACATGCTCCTTGCGCAGCTCGGATACAAGAGTGAATTTAAACGCGAATTCTCCGTGAGCTGGTGGTTTTAGCCTGTGTTCTTGAACTACTTTTTATGTTTTGCGCTCTTAGCTCATTGAGACTGTGGCGTTTGCCTTTTCTATAATGGGGGTCATTGCATCTGTATCCTCGACATTAACCTTTGGTTTGGAAAGCGGTTCGTCTTACCTACTCTAAGCTGTGCCAGCGATTCCTTGATTCCACTAGGTGGCCATGTCGGAATGGTTTTCGGATGGCTGATTCCCAGTCTCTTCGTATTGACCGTCGCGCTTTCCATGGCAGAATTGGCCTCCGCAATGCCGTGAGTATTTTGAAAATTGTTTGGATTCCTGGCATCTTAAGACTCTTTGAATTTGAGTACGAGCGCGGGACTGTACTACTTTGCCGCAAAGCTTGCTCCTTCTGAATATTCTGCACTTGCAAGCTGGATTACAGGTTAGTCTGTGTATGTATCCGCTTCTATATTCAAAATTTAATGTTTTTTTTGCTTAGGCTGGGCCAACATAACTGGTCAAACTACTCTGGTCTGCTCTATCGACTTTACTTGTGCTCAGATGATCACAACTGCAGTCTCTGTGGCGTCTGATGGTTCTATTGTCCTGTCCTCCGGAGCCACTTATGGGATCTTGCTAGCCATTCTGTTTTCACACGGGATTGTTTGCTCGGCTGCGACAAGCGTTCTCGCCAGGCTCAACCTTTTCTACGTTTTCATCAATGGCGAGTGAAGGACTTCGTGGATATATAAGTCACGTTGATCCTAGCTCTAGCGAGTAAACAGTCGGAACCACGGTCGCCGCCATTATTGCTTTGTTAGTCATTTCGGACACCAAGGTCTCAACTCGGGATGCTTTCACACTTTTTGAAAACAATACTGGATGGTCTGATGGTGAGTTGGTGCTTTCTTTGAAGACAATTTCTCCATTCTGAAATCTTTATGCAGATGGTTGGGCATTCATACTCGCATTCACTGCTCCTATGTGGACTCTTACTGGCTGTGAGTATTTGTGCGATATGAAGACAGTTTTTATGATTTGGGTAATCTTCCCACCATCCGCAGACGACTCTGCCGCGCATATCTCTGAAGAAGTAGCTGGTGCAGCTAGAGCGGCACCCATCGCGATTCTCGTTGGTGTAGGTGCAACAGCAAGTCTCGGATGGATTCTCTTGATTGTAGTTTCTTTCGTTACCCCTTCAATCAGCAATCTCCTATCGTCTGATCTGCCGTTGCCTATGGGGCAAGTATTTCTGGACGTGCTTGGGAAGAAAGGAATGTTGACGATATGGAGTTTGATAATTGTTGTCCAGGTAGCCAGACACTCTGCTTGTAGTGACTTCCACTGATGCATTCAGTATGTTACTGGCGCTGCGCAAGGTGTAGATGCTTCTCGTGTCGTTTTCGCGTTTTCACGGTAGGCTATCGCATGTCTGTCGTACCTTTAATTCATGCCAATATCATTCATAGTGATAATGCTCTTCCGGGTTCTCGCTGGTGGAAACAGATCAATTCCTACACTCAGACACCTGTAAATGCCGTATGGCTCGTAATGCTCATAGCAGGAATATGTGGGGTTCTTGGGTTTTCAGTCACCGCATTGAATTCTTTAGCTGGGTTTGTGTCTTCTCTTCAACACCTGAATTTTGCTCTCTTCCGAACTAACAATTTGTTAACAGGTCTGCCGTCATCGGTCTCTACACATCCTATACATTCCCTATATTTCTGTCCGTCATCGGTGGTCGTGAAAAAATTACTCCTGGGCCTTTCACTCTAGGACGACTTTCAAAACCTATAGGGTGGATCGCGGTGACCTGGGTGACCTTCATCGTCATAATGCTTTTATTCCCCCCCGGCTCACGTACTACAGGTTCAGATATGAGTACGTATTTGACACTCCTTCGAGAGGATAATGTGATATTGGTCGTTGACACTCAAACTGTAGACTATTCAATCGTGATAATGGGTGCAGTTTTTGTTTTCGCGACAGCTTGGTGGATTTTCTCTGCCAAGAAGTGGTTCCATGGGCCTATCATAAATGTTGACGGTTTGAGTGTTGGAGAGAAGGATGATACTCCCGGAGAGAGTGTTGAAGGACAAATATCAAGCTCATGATTTTACAAAGTGAAATTCAATGGAATATGCTGCCTCGTCTGCTTGTTTGCAATCAATGCTGTACCTCTGAAAACATCAACCGTCATTAGACTATTCCCAACGTCCATCTAATTATTGTCAATCTAGATTTATGATTTATCTAGTTCACAGAATCTCCTATTTGTGCAAGCCGCTTCGCCTCTTCCAGATTGCGGCGGACACCCTTCTCAACCTCACACTCCCAATCAGTGCCTACCAAGATAACAACATACTCGCTGATTCCCACTACAGTCAGACCGACAAGTTGCCCGATCCAAAGTCCTTTGAGGCCATATTCCGAGCGAAATGCCAAAAAAATACCAAGTGGGAGAGCGAGTACGTAGTAGGCAACAAAATTGTAGAATGCACCGAGGTGTTGGCGGCCTTGACCACGAAGAGAGCCACCGCAAGAACCAGCGAGCCCATCAGCAATCTGGAATGAAGCCACAAAAGGCATTACCACGCTGACTAATTGAACGACGGCCACATCGTCACTCATCAAGTATCCAATAATCTATATGTGCTACTGGTGAGGACGATAGACAAGTATCTGGTAAATAAATTTACACACATTTTTTGTGGACATCAAGGTAATCATTACTACAGCACCTACAACAACGCTAAGAAACGCCGCAGCGTGAGCAGCATGCCTTGCACCGATTGCAGAGCGAAGGCCAATAAGGTTACCAACACGGGTAGAGGCAGCAACGCCAATCCCGAATGGTAAGGTATTCAAAACTACATTCACCGTTCAGTTGATGAAGAAATATCTAATAGGCATTTCACAAACTTTGATCAAGTGTCATGATAACAGATTGGGCAGCTAGAGGAAGAGATCCCAGTCGCCCAGCCGCGAGAGCAACGATTTCAAAGGCTGCCCTACGACAAATTGGATCAATATATGAATTGTGAATCGTGAACCTCGCTGACCATTCAGTGCCTACCATGAGTATCCCAGGAATTGCCAGTCGAAAAAAGGATACGCAGCTCTCCTGTTGAAGAACAGCACGAAACTGGATTCCTCCCCACGTTCCGTTGTTGCGGTGGGTGGGAGAAAAGTATGTCATGATACACAGTAACGCAAAGGCTAGCCAGTAGATAATGGAAAGCGCGATCGGAGATCCGAAGAGTCCAAGCGAGGTATAGTGAACGAATCCGATGTTTAATACGACATTGATAGGAGAGATAACAAGAAGAACGATAGTAGAGGCTTGCATGATGCCTGCAAAGGGTTTGGTGCAGTCAGATAACGAGCGCGAAGAAGATTCTTACCTTGACACTGCAAATATTTTTTCAGGCTCTCAAAACCGATGTATCCTGGTGCTCCAATAATCAACAGCCGCAAAAAAAATTGCACATCCTTAGCAAGGTCCTCCTGTTGACCTAGAACAAGCAATATGGGCTCCATGAAAATCCATAAAGCGCCAACGGGGACAAGGAGAATCCATAACAGCAAAACACAACGCTGAAAATGAACCGAAAGGTCAGTGGGGCGAGTGCTGCCAGTGAACGCTTGAGACCCAAGTGTGTCTAATGCTGTTGTTCCTCCAAGTGCGACACACCAGCCTATTAGTTAAGGAAATACTAGGATCACCACGCAAAAGGTAATAGAATCACGACTCGCCAGTGACAAAGGCAAGCATGAGCGAGAAGGCTGCGACAGAGAGTTCATGAGGTCCCAGACGGCCAGTGATGACTATACTGATGGTTTGAATAGAATTTTGTAGAATGTACGACAAAATGACTGTGTTCTAGTTGTTAAATATGGCAAGTCGCAAGGCCAGTCGAGTTACTTTCCTGGAATGGAGTCGACGAGTAACGAGAAGAACAGTTTCAACTCGTTGAACTGCAGGGCGCTTCTTTCTTCTTCTGAACCAACAACGCTAGTAACAGACGTTGAGGGCCAATTTGTAGGATCTTCGGTGTACTGGCTCGACAATAATCTAGAAGGCTCTGTGAGCAACGGATCCCTTTCGATTGGAGAAGGAGGCATTGTGGGGCAACTTGAGTAAGCAAGGAATTTTCTGATAGAGAATTCGTGCTTCGCAGGAAGAGATATATTTTTCTGTAGATACAACAGGCTGCAGGCAAGTACCACGAGTCCATAGGCGTAATAGATAACTCCTCGAGGCAGATTCACCATCCGAAATGTCATTCTTGTTCCATGTCTTTCCCGCATTCGCCAAAAGAAAACACACCAGATCCTTCTCATAGATTCTTCAAAATGTTTTTTTATGCTACATCTTGGAACCGAGTCGCCTCAAGGCAAAGCACGCCCCAAAGTTAACACAATCGAAATCAATCTCTGTATCCGGATCCCATGAGGAGTTCTGCCCGTCAGGACTATAAATTGCGCAGGACGAAGCGATGACGGGTCGCCATTGTTGTCGAAATACTGACTGCACTATGAAATTCTCAGTCTTTTTTGTTGTGGCTGCCGCGGTCTGCTCTGGGTTCACTGATGAGCACCGCCATGACCATCCCGAGCAGATGCCTTTTGATTACGTCAAATTCCCTTACGAGCAGCCCTTATATCGAACAAGCACTGGGGAAGGTAAATTTCCTCTTCTTCTTGGTTGTCTTGATGATGGCCCTCACATATTCCGCAAGTGACGGCAGACGCTATCTTTTCTGGTATAACGACATTCGCCAAGCTTCCTTGGGTGCAATGTCTAAACAGACAACACGATGTCCCGGTGGATATTGCTTTCTTAGGCGCGCCATTTGTGAGATTATCATGATGCCGCCAATGGGAGACTAGTGTCGCAACTTAATTTGGCTTGATTTCTTTGATTTCTAGGATACTGGAACTAGCTATAGGCCTGGAGCACGATTCGGTCCTTGTAAGCTTTCTTGCTGTACCCCGTCTGACTCAGAGTGTCTTCTATCTAATGTAGCTGGTATCCGGGCCGGCTCTCGTCGTCTCAACCTCTATGGAGGCTACAACGTTCCCCTCGAAGCCAATCCATTCAAGTCCGGTCAACGCATCGTTGACTGTGGCGATATTCCCGTGTCGTGAGCAAATTAAGAAGAATCCGAATTCCCTAGCTAATGCTCAAGCGCTCCAGCCCGTATGATAGTGCGTACGCCGTAAAACAAATCGAAGCAAGCCACAGGTCTATCCTCCAGCGAACTGCGTTCTCACCCATGGCGAACGACTCTGAGACCGGGGAAGCTCTTGAAGCGATTGCTCTGGATGGTAAAAATCATCCTCGAATTATCACACTTGGTGGAGATCACACGATAACTCTTCCCCTTTTGCGCTCTATCAATTCTGTTTATGGTCCTATTTCTGTTATACATTTTGACTCTCACCTTGGTATGATGATTTGACTTCCATCTCGATCGTCTCTTATACGTCTATGCAGACACCTGGAAACCCAAAGTATTTGGGGGAGCGCCATCCGATACTGCCGCAGTCAATCATGGAACGTACTTCTGGCATGCTTCTCAGGAAGGTCTCATCAAGAACGGATCGTCAATTGCAAGTGTCCTCATTATCTATCTCGTTCCTTGATCCCTGCCTTTCCTTCATCATTTCCTTCCCATAAATACTTTGATCCTAGTTTGTCCATTTGAATAGCACGGGGCTATCCGGACGACGCTTTCTGGTCTGGAAGACTACGAAGTTGACGATGAAGTTGGATTCCAGCGCATCGAGGCGCGGGAAATTGATACACTCGGTGAGAAGCATTTCCCTAGATTTATTTCACTTGACTGAGCCCCCGGTTCTTTAGGTGTGAACGGTATCATCCAAAAGATTCACGAGACCGTTGGTCATCGTCCTGTTTACCTATCCATCGACGTACGTCCTCTTTCCAACTATCTTGCACATTCCGCCGTATAGCACGAAAACCCCGCTAGATTGACTCCATCGATCCCGCTTTCGCTCCTGCCACCGGTACACCGGAGACCGGCGGGTGGACTACTCGCGAGCTACGCGCAATCCTAAGAGGTCTGGATGGTCTCCAGATCGTCTCCGCAGACCTTGTCGAGGTTGCTCCAGCGTATGATACAAATGCAGAGCTCACGACGATGGCTGCCGCTGATGTTGGTGATGGCGAAACTTACTTTCAATATTAGACTGACTCTTAACTCAGGTTTTATTCGAAGTGCTCACCGTGATGACAAAGAATCCTTTAGGTAAGGTCAAGTCCAGGACGGAATGAAGTCAGATTTTTTGGATGTCTGTCGCCCAATTTATATACTTCAATTGTCGTTTTATCATGAACTGAAACATCAAGCTTTCGTTCACGATTCAATGAAATTATTTTTGCTTGGGATGTTTATCGCTGAGGCGAAATGATCTGAAAACGCTACATACCAAAATACTCACCGACAACTGAACGCGACCGCGACGCGCCATTTTCCGCTCATGTGCAAATCACGTGTGCATGTCCTATATAAAGGCCGGCCCTCATGAATATTCGCCCCAACCTTTGTTTGTAACCACACACCACTGTCACACACCTGTTCAATTTTGATCATAATGCCGAACTCTTCCTCCTCTGGTTATACCTACAATTCCTCTGGCACTAATTCCCAAGTAGGTTGTCCTTAGCTGAGGGCCCCTGTCCAGTGTCGTATCTGATCAATTTCCTCTATTGTCCAGGGCAATCACTACTGCAGCAGGGATTACGGGAATGGATCCAACTCTTACCACTACTCCAATAGGTGCGCTATCAGCTCAAGAGGCTACACCAGTACTGTAAATCTGAAAGCCTTTGTCTTGTAGTAACGGGAGTTACTATTACTCCAACCCCAATGGATCCACGTACTATAATTCTGGTAACGGACAGTCTCAGTACACATCTCCGAGTGGCCAATCCCACAGCAGCGACAGCGGAAAGAAATAGTCTGGGTATGCCGCATCCTCTACTGAATTTTATCACTGAAACTCACTAATATATTAGGTCTTGCTTATTGAGAGCACCTATCCTTACGTAGCCCGAGTTGTACAACGTCTACTTCCATAGTCCGAATTTGAGTTCAATGACTAGTACTTCTTAAGGAGTTGTGAACATATTTCCAATGCAATAAGGTGCCAATGGTCTTGGTATCACTCCACCACAGGTGCTATGATTTCTCTGCCACCAAGATTGACCATGGTGGTACAGGTCCTGTACATAGGTTTTATTGGCTCGGGAAATGGATGGTATAATCGGGGTATAATCGGGACGACGGAGTTGGGAACGATTCCCTCGATTTCCACTATGCCAAATCCATGTACACAACTGCAGCATTAGTTGCCAGTGCATCGGACGAGTGCACGCTATGTCGAGACGGGACTTTCAACAAAGACGAAATACTTCGACAGCGGAGATGGATACCCGAATGTATGCGTCTCCCAATTGGAAGGATGTGCGCATTACCCACAATCGAGAATAAATGCTTTCAGATTTTCAAGTACGTGTCTCAAAAAGTATCTTGAAAGGGACCCCAACTGACACTGAGTTCGTTGCACACGCTGCTAGTTTTTTTTTAGTATGCGAAGTTCTCCGAAGAGCAATATTAATACAAGGCTGCGTCAACTCCTCCCTCCCTATCTTGATCATGAGAACGCTCGGAGGTCTTGGTTGACACATCGCCTGAATTAGGAACTGAAAGGAGAACTGGAAGCAGCTAATGATGATACTGAGGAGTTCGAGGAAAGGCTTCAGGCTTCGCGGAAATCTGCTCACCCATCTCAGTCAGGCGAGGTCAGGCGTCCATAAACACGGATCTCGGATTCCAGATTCGCGGCCCGGATCACTCGCAGCTTTGCCTTTTAGTAAGATTCAGAACGTACCCAATATCTGCTCTTTCTTCATGTCTGCCAGTACTTCTGAAGGAATCGCCCTCATTACTGGTTCCTCTCAAGGAATTGGCAAGGCAATCGCAATTCGCCTTGCTTCTGATGGATTTGAGATTGCTATAAACGACATACCCGCCAAATCTCTAACGTTGGAGGCCACGCAGAAGGAAATTCAAGAATTGACAGGCAAACGCGCTCTCATCTGCGTCGGAGATGTATCCGTCGAGGAGGAGGTGAAAGGCATGATCGAGGAAGTGGTGAAAAGCCTTGGTGGTATAGACGTTGTGAATATCGTTGTTCTCCTTGTCCGAGGCACCATTGACACCGTCTACTACATAGATGGTAGCAAATGCTGGAATCTGTCCTTGCGGTCCACTAAATGACGGTGTGCAAGTTCTTCCGAATGATTGCTTCGGCTTGATCTCTTTTAGTGACTCTTGATGAGTGGGAACGGGCATTCGCCGTTAACGTCCGGGGAACATTTCTGTGCTACAAATATGCTAGCTTACAGATGATTGCGCAAGGAAGAGGTGGTCGTCTGATTGGCGCTTCTTCCGGTGGAGGAAAGCAAGGCCAACGACTGATGGGTTTATATTCCTCTACGAAATTTGCGATTAGAGGTTTAACACAAAGTGCTGGTACGATATCGCTGAGAATGGTGAAGGATATTTGCTGACCTATCGTAGCCTTGGAGTATGGTAAACATGGAATCACCGTCAACGCTTATTGTCCTGGTACCTACTGAACTTTCGTTTGGAAATTTTCAATGCTGATATTCCCATAGGCCCCATCGACACTGAAATGGGTAGGCCCTATCCAACCACGCCCTTACATGTTCGTAACGACACGGTATAGTTAGAAAAGCTGCGCAAGACGTCGGAGGAGACACGGAGAAAGTTCTGAAAATGGTGAACTTTATCAATCCTCTTCTCTTTGTTTTGCTGAAACAAATTTTGTTTCACAGTATGCACAAATGTCCGCTGTAGGACGCATCGGTAACCCAGCCGATGTCGCCAACTTGGTTTCGTTCCTCGCATCCAAGCATTCTGAGTATTTGACCGGTATGTGTTCTTCCTAATGAGTAATCTGCTCTCCGGACACTGACCGATCCCCCAGGACAAACGGTTCGTATCCCAACCCAAAGCGGAATTCGTGTCATGATTCTCATGTCAATAGATCATCATCGACGGAGGCTTGATCTTCGATTGAACCAAAAGTCGAGGCTAAATTCAATCAGACCAGGGAAGTTCGAAGAACGATGTCGAGTCATTACTAATTGTGCAATTATACAACTTCAATGGATATGCTATGTATGTATGTACAAATGTCTGGTCAACGAGTGTGATTCGAATGTGTGAACAGGCTTATGGAGAGGTTAACGCACTCGGGAAGGGCACGGTTGATTTTTCAAATTTGATGATTTGTTGCCGGTTTATTACCGGTCCGTCGGATATTTAATATCAGCTTTCTCGCACCATACCTTGAGTTTCAATGCTTTTATGCATGCAGTAGGAGCATTTTTGTGGCCTTCAAACTCTTAAGTAAATACACTGTCATCTTTTGCCTTCTAGTTACCTCAGGGATGATGAATATCCCCCTTTGAGTATTCATGTCTCCACTCAATTTATCTCAATTTACAATTTTTGAAGGAATTCATGCCTCTATCCTCAATGTATGGGGGTCATGCAGTCCTACTTAGGGTGTGATACAGAGTGCCTGTTACTTGAACTCAGAGCTCATATGGTAAACTCCAGCATAAGCATTTCTTCTGATAAAAACAAGCAAGCTCAAAGAACTTGAATAGCTATTAAGACTAAATAACATCTGCAAAAGCTGGATGTTCACAAGAGCAATGGAGGCACTGTCCAGCTCCCAGCAATTCTTCAGTACTGCTGGTGGATAGTGCTGTCAGCTGCTTTATGTTGAGGGATACTCCATGTGCTCGAGCCCATTCTGTACATACCTGAGACTTCTCCTTGTATGTAAAGTTACAAGACAGCATTATTATGTTAGACTAATACTTCGTATGCTTAGCTTTGGTCTGTGCGACTTTCTCTTTCCGGCCACCGATTTCGTTTCACTCCTATTTATCTCTCGATCACCATATATACTCGATATATTATTTTATACTCCCTCAGTTGCTTCCCTTATCAACTGAGAACTTACTCAACATATTACATTATACTATATAGTACCTAGGTAGACAACAATGGAATGCCTCTTGAACACCTCAGTTACTTTACTGAGTTAAACCTTGACACTTTTGAGCTCTTAGCCAACTTGAAGAATACAGATTTTACAGATCATGAACAGTTCAAAAACTATTGTACCAAATACTCTAGCTCATGTAAAGAATAGGGTACAGCATCTTTCATTATCAATAGTTGGAATAAATGCCTAAAGGGAAATGCATTGAAGGCTGGAGGACACTGTGTCATTCAATGGGCAATGATGCAAGGATAGGCTATCAGTTTCACTGTGCCTTCTCCCGGGTGTGCTACCTGAGGAGTTTATCATTCCTGAGGTACTTAGAAGGCAGAAAAATGACTGTGTATTCACTGAAGAGTTCGAAGGCCACAAAAATACTTTTACTGCATGCATAAAAGTGTCGATGGTGAGATATCAAATTCGACGGACCGGCAATAAACTGGCAACAAATTATCAAAATTGAAAAATCAACCGTGCCCTTCCCGAGTGCGTTAGGAGAGGTAAATCCTGCCCATGTTGATTGATGATGGGCGTGTTAACTCGAACGTTTTGACTTCAATTTGCTCCCTAAAATTTCCTCTTTAGCAAACTTCGGAACCCGCCCACAAAACTTCGTCTTCCTTCGAGTTAAACCGTTACAGATTTCCATGTGTCGAATCAGACTCGAATTCCTCGAATAGATACCATTGCACTTGGGACAGCTATTACTTAAAAACCCGAGATGTGTCTTGACGTGTCGAGCCATGGCAGTGTTTTGCACTGGGTTTGATGTGCAGCCTTCCCATTGACATTTTACGAGGTTTGATCCCTTTTTACGATTGCACTGGTGGTGCTCGACCAAGTGATGAGCTATGGTACCACGATGATTGTCAAGTGTGTAGTTACACATCCCGTAAGGAGTCTTCCAACGACAGGCGCCTATTTTCTGCGACGTGAAGTCCGAACCATCATCTGTGATGGTACTCGACGATGCGGACGAGGGCGTTCTGGAGTGGAACATTATCAGTACAGAGCATACAATGATATGACTCAAAAGTCGTACAACTCGCGGGAAGAAGACTCCTCGGGACTTGGGGGATCAGGCAAACGGAACGAGGAAGGGTGGTGGCCGAAAGAATTCCAATCGTCCAGGTCCAACACCTTTTTGAGCGAAGAAAATCTGTCAAACTCTTGATAGCCAGAGACATTTGAGATATGGCCACTAAAAGCGCTTTGCGATTGTTGGACCATCATCGGGTGGAATGGGTCGAAAGACGACACTAGCACGTCTGTTGCAAGCCCTTGCTGGAATAATTGTGGAAGCACGCTTGACGGCCAGTATGCGTCTCGAGAATCGGATCGACCGGCTATGAGATTGTCACCGAAAGTTCTAAGTATGGCACTACATCAGTAGAAATTGAAGAGAACATAGATATAAAAGACTGACTCGCAATCTGGTTCGGACGACTCTAAATCAGAGGGAGCACAGCTCCGTGCATAGTCGTGGACAGTCTCCAGCTGATTAAGTGATGGAAGATCGAGAGCATTGTCCCAAGACGTCGAGGAGAGCAATCCAGAGAAGCTACCAGCGCTGTCGAAGAAAGCTGATGAACTATCAGCGAGAGTTTGAAGCCCAAAGAAATCATTAGGTCCCATCAACGTTGTCTGCTCCGAGGAAGGGGTAGCATGCTCGCTATGAGGAGATTCGATAGGATCAGTGACTCGTATCTGGAGATCTTAAATACGCACCCAGGGAAACACTTGGCTGAGCTCCAGGAGTGGTTTAGAGGAGCCTTATGCGACAGGAAAAGTTCGGATGATGAGGAAGCACTGGGCGCAGACGACATCTCGAGGACAAATGCGAAAACTGAAGAGGGCGGGGGCAAGGGAGCAAGATCTTCGAAAGACGAGATTTATAGCATGAGCTAGGAATCGATTGACCTCTGCGCTTTGAATAGACCGACGCTTTGTGTAAAAAATGCCTCCGTGTACTCTTGCGGCTTATTGTGGTGATTGGTCAAAGCGGGATCCAAAACTATGGGAAAGAGTGGTCACTATACCAGGACTACGTTCAGATCGAGTTTTAGACCTATGGCGAAGAATTTTGATGAGGATTCAGGAAGAATAGGGAAGAATGTAATTGTTGATGCAGCAGTATAAACCATAATTGCTCCAGGACGAGGTAACAATTGAGGCATATGCGGGGCCTATGTACAAATAGGAAGACCAACCAACTAGCGGCCTTTACGCTGGCATACAAATCTTGAGCAGCGCTGAGGAATGCCGGGAACGTCGAGCTCGGGTCGAGCTCAACGAAAGGAATCACAAGGATGACATGATGACAGTGACAGTGACAGGATAATCAAGGTGAACATGTGATCGTTCTAGATTCCGTTCCTGTCAAGTGTGGCGCGAGGAGTGTTCGGGGTCGAATGCTCATTGCTACACGGAAGGACCCCAAAACCAGCAGCCAAAAAACAGGAAAGCGGGGAAAGGCAAATGGGCTCAGCAAGGAAACAGAACAAATCATTTAGAACACGGGCAACGAGGAGCTCGGGACGATCTAATGTGAGTCATCATCCTGTATAACATGAGACCATTAGTGAAGAAAAGTAATATACAGCTATTAACCTCGGACCCTCTGCAAAACACCGTACAGTTGAATAATCAGCTTCGTTCATTGGGTTTATATGCAGCGCCGACTATTGGAGATGGAAATTGTCTTTTTCGAGCCCTTTCTGACCAACAATATGGTTCCCCTTCACGCCATGTTGAAGTTCGCCGTGAAATTTGTGATTTCATCGAAGCCCATCCAGAGCGGTATGAAGGATTCGTCGACGTTGACGAATTTGGCGAAAGTGGTGTTCGAAAAGAGAAGGGTAGTGGCCTCAGCGCGTATGTTGCTGGTATGCGACAGAACGCCACCTATGGAGGCCACATGGAACTCTCAGCATTTGCTCATCTCACGAAACGGAATATCAAGGTGGTCCAGCCAGGACTGGTTTATGTGATCCAATGTGATCCAGCGCAACCGAAAAGTCCAAAGCCGGCGTCCAAAAAGGCTGGAGATTCCCCTTCGAAATACACACGATCCGGTTCCTCGAGAGAACTGGATGGTGATGGCGATTCGCCAATGTCTCCAGGAGAGGGTCAAGATTCGACGATTTACGTCGCGTATGTCTCTTCATTATACTTTTCTATTGTTCCTTGAGAGCTTACCTCTCCGTAATATTTTCTTTCTCTAAATTCCTTGTGCCTCAAATCACTCACATGGGCCTTGATTTTTCAACTCAAGTTATCACGATTGGGAACATTTTTCCTCTGTTCGTAACCTCCGGGGTCCTCACACAGGCATTCCGCAAGTATGTGAAATGGCCCCTCCTCCTTCTGCTGGTTCTAGCTCTAGTGCTTCTCCGCCTCCTGAAGAGCGTCTTCCGCCTTCCAAAGCGCGGAAGAAAGAGCGTGAACGGAAGGAAAAAGAAAAGAAGGAAGCAGGTCGACTGAAGGCAAAAGAAAAGGCTACACCTCACACTGCTCATGGTTCAGTTGACAAACCGAAATCAAGAGTGAAGGACTCCTCATCTACTCAACAAACTACTGGATTCAAGCTGAAGATCCCTCCAAGGTCTCTCCCTACGCCCCCAACGCTGTACATGACAGCTGCTACTCCGATATCAGCCGGGGCGTCACCCTTGTCGAGTCTTCCTCCTTCCCCGATCGAAGAATCCGATGGCTTTCTTGACGCAACAACTATACCTCTCCCTACATCCGTATCTCATTCGGTGGCGACTACCCCACCCGTTTCACACTCACCTTCTCCAGCACCTGTTTCAAGCTCCGAGCAACCCACTTCGGATTCTGAGGACGCTTCCATGGGGTCGCCCACTGTCGACCTTTCCGCGACAATAACTCTTCCGAAGTCTAACTTGTCTACAACAACTTCCCATGCATCGTCTGACTCAAGTGTGTATCCGACCCATATGTACAGCTTCGCGTCGCATCCCTATGCGTATGCGGCATATCCTACGCATTTGACGCAGGTTACCCCTGCAGTTACATCGGCATCTTATCATTCTTCTGTATTTACCGGAAGGCCAGAACCCTCACCATCCACATCAAACTCAACGTCGCAGACGTCTCAGCCACTCCAAATCTCGTCTCAAGTCAATGGCGCATCACGACCTACATCAGAATCATCTATTGGATCTTCTACGGTATCACCGAGTACACCCGTATATTTCCCTAACAATCCTTCGGCGGTAGCGATCGACCCGCTATCTAATCTATCGCACCTTACGCACCTTATACCTCCGCCACGTATCCAGCGCAGTCCAAAGCGGTCATTCGAGGAAAGCGTGAGCGAAGAGGGGAGCGCAGAATCAGGGATTTCGACTAGCAGTGCTGAAAGCAAACGGAGTAGGATCGAAGATGAGGATGCTTCAGAGTATCGTGGTAGACAAGGCCATAGAAACGAGCAAATGGAAGATTCTCCTGAGCCTGTGGAAAATGGTGTACTTCCATCTTTTAAAGAGGATGAACCGGAGAGCACGGATGCCGACGATGGGCATCATAGCGAAGAAGAGGGTCTAATGGGGAAGTTGCAGGACGGCCTTCCTGTTGCTCCGGCTTCCATGCTTTCTGCGCGGGGCTCTGAGTCCCCGCACGAATCGAACGATGAGGCTGATGATGACGACGATGACTATGTGGACGAAGAGGATGCGAATAACGACGACGACGACGACGATGAAGATTATCTGGAGCCTCACGTTCACTCCGTCGTCCCCCCTAAGATGGCGAGGAACCGTCATGTTGGTACCATGTCAGAGCGCCCGTTGACACGTCGTCAACGCAAGAAACTTGGATTACCCAAACCTCGAAATATTCCTATGTCTGGCAAAGGGGTAGGGAAAATCGTGATTCCTGGAGGCAAATCTACCAACTCGCTTTCTCGCGATACTTCAAGTACGGCCGAATGGACCGCGAACGGCAACGGAAGAGTAGATGTCAGGGGATTTAGAGAACTGAAAATCTGAACCTTGTACAGTAAGTAGGTCGACGTTATACTACCGTTTTCTCATGCTCTTTGTATCTCCTGGTTAGTGCTGTACAACAAACAATCTTCGCATATTGCATATCAACGCATCCTTGCTTTTTTCGCAGCTCCACTTCGCTCCATGTACATACTTCTGCGACACCATGTTACACCATGTTTTGTAACAATCTTCCGCCTCTTTTCCTGTGACTATGACTATGATATTTACGCGTTTTGCATGCCACAATGGATGGGTTCGCATTGATTACTTCTACAGTCAATATACAGTACTCAATATATTCCAACATTGATTTTATACATATCTATAGTTGTTCCTCGTAGCGCATTCGAAAAGAGTCAAGGGTGGAGCATTCATTGAGGGGAAGCATTTCAGCATTTGGTCCTGTTTGGTTTAGAACGGCTGGTCCAGAACTTCGATGACGATTCTAAACCTTTCTGTGCTGCTTGCTCCAGCGGACGCGGGAATGACAAAGGCATCGATAATCCCGGGACTCGCGACTCAACAACAAATGACATTCTTGCCGTGGTTTCTCAAGACCTCACATACAGGAACACCCGGAACAAGCGTTTAACTTCATCTTGTCACGATTCGCACTAATACCCTATTTCGGGTCTCGTCCACGGTCCACCCCCAGCGATCCTGTCAAACGCAGCAATATATATAAAAATCTGCAGAACAACTAAAGTTCAACTTTGAATACGACATGGTCTCTACTCATATGAAAGCTGTTGTGAAGACAGGCGTAGGGAAAGTTGCTCTCAAAACCACAGAGATCCCAAAACCTGGTCGAGGTCAAGTTCTCGTGCAGATCTACGCAGCCGCGCAGAATCCGTCTGATTGCATGTTTTCTCTGTGCTTATTTTCCAAACAAACTGACGCTACCCTTGAAGGGATGAAATTAAAGCGAGACTGGCCCGTGGATAGCGTTATCGCGGGCCACGATTTTGCTGGGGTCATTCAGCAATTAGGACTAGATGTACCCTCTGAGTCCAGACAGATTGGACAAAGGGTCGCAGGATTTTTGAATGGATGTGGGTCGGCGTAGTTTTGATAATTATTCGAGCTCGGAAAGAAATATAACGCTCATTCGGATTGGTCAGGTACCTCACCGGAAAATGGGGGCACCTTCGCGGAATATTGTGTAGCGGACGCCATGCTGCTCGTGGATATCCCAGACGATATGAGTTTTGAATCGGCTTCGACACTTGGTCTGGCTGCATTTACTGCATGTCAAGTACTATGGCAGTTCCAGAAGCTTCCTACTCCAGTAGATGTCGCAAAAGACCCCTTTCCAGTGAGTAAGTTTTATCTTCGTTACTAGTTATACTCTAGTGAGCGGTTCCCACAGATTTTGGTGTGGGGTGGGGCCTCAGCGGTAGGTCAGTTTGTCATTCAGCTCGCCAAGAAATCTGGGCTACAAGTAATCACGACCGCTTCACCCCAAAACCACGAATTGCTCAGGAAGCTCGGCGCAGATACTGTTTTTAATTACAGAGACCCTAAAGTTATCTCCAATATCAAGACATTCTGTGGGGACAAGCAACTCCGCGTCGCTATTGATTGCGTTTCTGTTGATGAGTCTGTATCACTTGTCACGCAATGCATCGAAGATTGCGAAGACTCCTACATTGCATTGGTGCTCCCTGTAGAGGTGAAAACAAAATACATCAGGTCAGAATTCACGTATGCTTACACGCTCCTGGGAAAGGTGAGTCAAATAGTGATGTTTTCTGGCGGTTGGATGAAAGTCGGGCAACTTTCCAGCCAATCGAGGGAAAATACGCCTACCCGGCTATTCCTGAACATTTTGAGTTTGGAAAATGGTGTGCGGCTTTGCTGAGCCGCCTCACAAAGAACAATACGCTCAGCGTCACGCCGATTCGAGTGGTCCCGAATGGACTCGCAGATGCACAGTACTGGATCGATTATCAGGAGGAGGGAAAGGCAAGCCAAACAATCAGACTTTGTTCGGTTATATACTAAATGACTATCATATAGGTTCGTGCGCAAAAGATCGTGTATTGTACAAGTTCTTCGTGATACTTCGTGTGTGCGTTCAGAGCATACATAGTCACAATGTGTTTGTAGCTTTGTACCACCTACTACCCACAACACTGAACCAGCATTGATTTATATGACTCTGATACACGCACTTCAACTGCCTGTGGTTCGGAACTTCAGTGTCGGGTTATGGAGTACCTGATCCAGTGAACGCGGATGTGACGACAACCACAGTGATTCTTTCAACTTGCTGACGATATGATGACCCTCCAGAAAGATGGGGTTGGGGATTGGTGTAATTGGTAACTCATTTCAATTATTTAATCCGTGTACCCATTGTATGACTATCTCTGTCTTTGTCCGACTCCGGGCGATTGATACAACAGTATAAAACCTACAGGGAATCCACAGTGTTGTTTGCGTTCATCATTATCTCTGCGACTCACAAATGCAAGCCATTATCAAAGTAGGAGAAGGGAAAGTAGCGCTCAAGACTGTGGAAGTCCCTAAACCGGGGCCAGGTCAAGTCCTTGTGAAGATTTTCGCGGCTGCACAGAATCCATCCGATTGTTCGTTTATCTCGTTTATTCATTTATTCGCCTTTCTTTTCATCTAGGATGTATAATATATACATGGCATACTTGGAACCTGATGCTAACCTTTAACTATAGGGATGAAGCTCAAAAGAGGTTGGGGTGAAGGGGAGGGACTCATCGTGGGCCATGATTTTGCTGGGGTGATCCAGCAGTTGGGGCCAAATGTGTCCGAGTCTACCCGATCCAGCAGACAGATTGGACAAAGAGTAGCAGGCTTTGTGAATGGATGTGAGTCAGTGGTTGATTCGATACACGAACTCAAGCTAACACTGTAACTTTGATCTGATTTGAAGGCATGACACCTGAGAATGGAGGTTCCTTCACAGAGTATTGTGTAGCGGATGAGAAGATGCTTATAGACCTACCGGACGATATGAGTTTCGAATCAGCTTCGACTATCGGTTTTGCTGCATTCACTGCTTGTCAGGCACTTTGGCAGAATCAAACACTTCCTACTCCATTTGATGCTACGAAAAACCCATTCCCGGTAAGCCATATTTGAAGTCGGAAGCTCGTGGCTTGCCTTCCGATTTATGAAATTTACCCATAGATTTTGGTTTGGAGTGGAGCTTCAGCAGTAGGACAGTATGCTGTTCAGCTCGCCAAGCAATCGGGCCTACAGGTCATAACGACCGCTTCACCTAGGAACCATGAACTCCTCAAGAAGCTGGGTGCAGATGCTGTATTCGACTATAGAGATAACGAAGTGGTATCCAAAATCACCACGTTCTGCGGAGACAATGAATTAAACGTCGCCATCGACTGTGCATCTAATGATGAGTCTATCTCACTCATTGCTCAATGCATCGGAGACCGGAAAGAATCATACATTGCATTGGTGCTCCCCGTAGAAGTGAAGGCGAAACATATCAGATCCGACTTTACTTATGTTTATACACTTTTGGGAAAGGTGAGCTAGCTGGTGTTCGGGATGGTTGGAGAAATATTTCCCAAGTTCCAAGTTCTTATCAATGTTTTTTTTTCATAACTAGCCAACAAGAGATAAGTATAACTATCCAGCCATCCCTGAACACTATGAGCTAGGAAAATGGTGTGCGGGTTTGTTAAGTCACCTTGCGAAGCAGGGTGCACTCAGCACTGTACCAATCCGGGTTGTTCCCAATGGGCTTGCAGATGCGCAGTATTGGATTAAGTATCAGGAGGAAGGAAAGGTGAGTCCGAAAGCAACTTGAACTGAAGGCTATAAGCATAACGGCTGGCTGACCCCACTGCAAACATAGGTTCGCGCGGAAAAGATCGTGTATCGTGTTCGTTCAAGTTAGTGGAAATCTTCGTGTACCTATTAGTAATTGAGGGTAGATATATTGATACTGAAAGTTCATTTTTACTTCGGTGCACTCAAATACTTGGAATGACACATTGTATGTGCTTGGCTGTCAAGGTAGGGAAGTAATTCCACAACCTCAGGCTGCTGTGTCAACCGAGTTAAGTAGTCTCAGGAGACCTTCACTAGCGTTCAGAACAATGTTATGAGTTGTACGAACACGATCGCGTTCAGATATATATATATAGCATAAACATAAACACGATACGACACCCCAGCCGCAGACATTCGGAACCACTGCCACTTCCCCACCCCCCTCAAACACTCAACTCCACCTTCCCCGCCCCTTTAATCACCTCCCTCCCAATCTCATCCCCCAACACCGGGTCCACCCACTCCCTCAAAAACCTCTCTACCTGCTCCGGTGCCCTCCCAACAAAACTCTTCGGATCTAGTAAACTATCCAATTGGTCTTTAATCGGGTCAAAGTACGGATCCCGCTTCACCCGCTCGATCAAATCATTCTCCAGCCCCAGCTGCTTGACCTGGTGAGCCGCTTCGTGGGATAGCACCCGGATATTCTCGTGAGCTTCTTGGCGGTCTCCGCCGGCTTTGACGAGAGCCATGATGATGTTTTCTGTTGCCATGAAGGGGAGCTCTTGCGAGATACGCCGAGCAATGACGCGGGGGTAGACGACGAGACCTTCGGAGATGTTTTGAAGAGTGGAAAGAACGATGTCGGCGGTGAGGAAAGCTTCTGGGAGTGTGATCCGGCGGTTGGCACTGCGTGTGTGTGTGCGGAGAGAGATTTCAGCAAAAAGAAAAGAAGTTGAAATTTTGTGTTTTCTTAGCCTCCCCAAAGATTAACCGCATAGAACAAAACACTCACCTATCGTCCAGAGTTCGTTCAAACCACTGTACACTTGCTGTCATAAGGGCATTTTGGTGCAACACCATTAGATGTCTTGAAAGACTACAGACACGTTCGGAACGCATTGGATTGCGTTTGTACGCCATCGCCGAAGAGCCTATTTGAGTCGACTCGAATGGTTCTTCGATCTCCTATACACGAGGGAATGGAATGTTACCCCCACTAATTGAGGAAAGTTGGTTTTCTAACGGATTAGCTGACCTTCAAATTCGCCAAAAGACGGATATCAGTAGCGATTTTGTGGGCGGTGGCACCGAGGGAAGCGAGAGGTGCTAGTACGTCGATATCGATTTTGCGTGAGTAGGTTTGTGAGGTCACGGGGTAAGCGTAGTCGAACCCGGAAAGCTGGGTGACGCGTTTGTCTAGGGATTCGACCTTTTCATGGTCTCCATCGAAAAGAGCCAAGAAACTGGCTTGAGTACCAGTTGTACCTTTTACACCGCGGAACCCAAGGTCTTCTCTTGCACGTTTGATATTGCGGAGGTCCCAGAGAAGTTCCTTTAAGACGAATTGTTCAGTTCAAGTGGATGAAATAGATGAAGATACTAACCTGTATCCACAACGTCGCCCGTTTCCCCACCGTCGTCAACTGCGCGGGCTGGAAATGCGTGAACCCCAAGGTTGGGAGATCTCGATACTTGGAGGCGAATGCGGATAGACGGGATATCAGGACGTAGAGAGAGCGGATGAGGTAATCGAGACCGTCGCGGAGGAAGATGAGGTCGGCGTTGCTAGAAAAAGGGAAGAGTTAGTCGGGATTTGTAAGCGAATTATGGAATACGCACTCGGTAACGTAGCATGAAGTCGCGCCTAGACTAAAACGGATCCAGTCAGTGGAGAGAGAGAGAAAAAAAAGCAAAGAACGCACTGAATAATCCCCGCAGCAGCCGGCGCAACTGTTCCAAAAGTATACACATGAGCCATCACATCATGTCTCCGTTTTTTCTCTTCCGCCGCCGCCACGTCGAATTGTTCTGGTGTTAGATGCTGTGGATAAAGGTGGTATGTGGTGACAGAAATGGAGACGGAGACAGGCAACGCACCAAATTATCCTTCATCTGCGAAATCGCTTCATCCGAGATTCGAAGGCCCAGTTCTTTTTCTGCGATGGCGAGATTTAACCACAGTTTTCGCCAGGTGAAGAATCGGTTCTGGGGATAGTACGATTGAGGTTGGTCGTGGTGAAAAACTCCCAGTCACCACGTCACTCACTGAAGGTGAAAACAGATGAGCCATTTCCTTGCTCGCATATCGACTGATGATAGTTCACAACGTCAGTCACCCACAAAAACCACAGAAAGCGCGAAAGGGGGAGAGGGAGGCAAAGGAAGCGGAGGAGGAGGACGTAGATGCAAATTCAGGAAAGAAAAAACGCCAATCTCGAAACTTCTCAAACAAAGGAAAGAAATATCCACCTAGAAAGCGGCGTTTGATATGTATCGAATGCTTCCATCGTTGTCTATAGGTTGGAGGACGAAAACACAGTAAGTGTAGGAAAGTTGGGTCTGGGTTGAATGAATCTGACTCGGACGAGGATGGTTATCGGATATCGGATCTATACGGTCCGTATGATCCGCCAAGTCTGAGGCACTAACAGGGTACATAGGAATATAGGGGTTATAGGATAGGATAGGGTGTACCACCATCTTGTCTTCAGCATGTCTTATGAAATTGTTGACATTACAGTCGGAAATTCGACCGAAACGGTATCTATAAATGTAAGACCTTGAAGCTTGAAAGCTTTCATTAATTTAGCTCTTAACCATCCTTTTTAGAAGTCATTATGGGTCCGAGATAACAATCCTGGATGGGGCGCCTTAATAGAGGGATATTTCGGCCAGCGTGATACTCTGGATTCCCTCAAAGCGAGCGAGCAACCCATTCTCGAGATCCCGATTGCACAAGAGTTCGATCTTCCTAAGAAAATCCTTATTCGCTCAGAGCTACAAACGATGTATAAAAGAGTCGGGGCGCTGTATCGGTCCAATCTGAGGTCCGGTGCGATTATCAGTGGGCAGCCTGGCTGTGGTTCGTTTTTTACAAGTCTGTTTAATGCTTCGATACTGATTACTCGCAGGTAAATCGACCTCAATACCTTACTTTTTGGTGGAACAACTCGCCGATAAACGTCCCGTCTACGTAATGGACAAAATCGAACATCTACTTTATAACTAACATGGGTACTTGGGTTAGCTCGGCTCAAGTTCTTCACATGCGTTCCGAATTCCCAATGCAACGAACACAGCATCCCCCTTGGTTTCTAATAGATTCCACACCATTGAAAGTTGAACCCAAGAGGATAATCTTGACCACCGGTTTCACTGTATATGTCCCGTCCCCTGCACGTGAATGGTATAAAGCCTGGATGGTTGAGCACGGAATACCTTTATATTTCTTGAATCCGTGGGTTCCGCAGGATTTACGAAAATGGTAACGTCAAACCCTCGTCTTCGCTTCAAAATTCCTCAGCTTCTTTTAGTCTACCACTCATTCTCGAATCCATTTTTCCACAATTACAACCTCTCAGTCAAGAAGTAGAAGAGCAGGAGGAACTCTTCCTAGATGCGCTCTATTACTGTGTACCAACTCCTCGCGCTTTGCGCCTATTTTTGGAGCCCTTGTTACTGAAGAAACAACTGGAGGAGCAAAGCTTGGAACCCGAGCAAGATTCTGAACAGACGCCCTTGGTTCAGAAGGTGCAGCTCTTGGAATTTGGGCAGACGGCTTCAGAAACGGAGCAGACGCCCGTGAATTATCCCGCCAATAACGACTATGTGAGAGCTGTAGTACATGCTATAGAGCGCTTGAACACCCTCCGGGACCTAGCAAAAATCCTTGAAATCCGCGCAGAGGCGGGGTATGCCAACGAAATATCTCATCAGCTATTGCGCATCTATCGCTCTGAACTGCGCGGTAGCCCTTCAAGTCGCTATGTAAAAATTGCCAGCGATACCGCCTATGTGGATTTCGCCTCTCCCTGGGTTGGCGAAGAGTTGCTTCGACGGCACAACGAGTGGCAGTTTTCCGATTTGTGCGAGTTTTATCATAAAATCTCTGAGACGTCGGATCTCGCTGTTGCTGCGGGAGTGATGTTCGAGTGTCTTTTCATCAAGAGGATTATTACTCCCTCCCTGACCAACTTACGGTTCGGTCTATACTCTGCCCTCAACACTCTTCCCAAGCGGCAGACCAGAAAGAGGGCGAAAATTCCTCACACCAGATTCATTGGTTTCACCCTAGCCTCGCCTTCTTCGAAATCCGCTCTTCATTGTTCAAATTCCGAGGCAAACGAAGTGGACAAACTCGACCCTCCTGATGGTGACGACACAAAGGAGGACGATGGTGACATGGAGAATTCTAATACCTCGTCCATACCGCAACCACGTTGGAACGGGGCATTTTCTCTAAACCGATTCCATATGATCCAGGAGGTAGAACCGGTATTGTGCACTCTCCACGTTCCATACAAGCGGAACAATCCTCTGTTCGACGCTCTTCTTTTGCAGGAGGACAGTCCTAGTTGCGTCACACTTTGGGTTATTCAAGTCACTGCTGCCAAGGAGCGTGGGGGAGCAAGCGCTCGGTACAATAATGTCAAAGACATTTACAATAAAAGTGTGGAGAAATATGGTGATGGTAACGTGCGTGTAGGGTACATGTTACTGGTACCGCCAAAGCATCAACAGGTTGAGTGGACCTTTGAAGATATTCATCTGCTACCAGAAAATCTCCGACCTAGTAACGGTAACGTTTATGTTCAAGTTTTCGAAGTCGATAAGTTGGAAATTATGTAGTGTATCATACGGGGTTATGGGATCTGGGGGGGACCCAAGATCCTGGTTCATCAAGAAAGAAAGAAAAAGCAAGTACTGAAGACACGATTCTTTGCGAGGACAAGGAGCCCCAAATTTCGGATGTGATACTACTACTAGTACCGGGGTGGTCAAGGAACAACACCACTACCAAGAGGCTTTAACTAGCAACCTTCCGGGGCACCAAGACGATTGGCAAAGGCCCCCCTCGTAAGGTATAAAAGTCTTTTAAGTTGTGTTCCCACTCTGCGGGATTCCATCCATCTGCGAAAGCCAGCTCGAATTTAGACAAGACGGTGCTGAGAACCGCCCGCATTTCCATCAGTGCCAACGATTTACCGGCGCACGCTGTGGGTCCTGGTATTCATAGGAAATTTGTAAGGGAACAGAGGCTTGCTTCGACGATTATTATTACTGCTTACCATAACTAAATGGAAAGAATGCCTGTTCGTTGTGCCGAAAATCCGCTTTATCGTTTCCGCGTAAGCTGTCCTGAATGTTAGGAAGCCAACGATCAGGCCAAAAGCAATGAGAATGCGGTGAAAAGTTGAGTGGGTCTCGTTGAACTGCTCAACAGAACATACACCGTCAGCTTGTGATAAAAAAAGATTCAAGCATGACTCTAACCACAGTAAGGTGAGATCTGGAGGTTTGTTCGTGGTGGAATATAACTGAGAAAACCAGAGGTGGAATATCTGTTATATCATTGCTGTGTCATGTATGTATGTCCTTCCCCCACTCACCGATCATCCACCACTACACCTTTCCCGGAAGGCCCTGGGAGCAACACTCTTTGAACACCATTTGGAACGACCGGTTGGAGCCTCAGTGTTTCATTCCTACTATACATCAGATCTTCTGGAGGCCCAACAAATCACATATCAGCGTACAGAACGGCATTCAAATAAGGAAGCCCTGCCAGCGCATTCGGGTTCAAATCATCATTCAACGCGTCAATTTCAGCCGTAAGACGGCTTAGAGTGTCCGGGTAGGATAAAAGATAGAAAAATGAATTCGCCAGCGTCATTGCACTTGTATCGGTCCCTAAACATTCGAACTTGTGTTCAGATTCGGTCCCCCCTTGGTCACAAAGAGAAAAAGCGGCTTACCCGCAATGAGAGCAAAACTTGTTTCTAAAACTAGTGCGGGTAGGCTTAGAGGTTCGTCTATCGTGTCGTCATGTTCCCCAAGCTACGAGAGAACATAGTGAGAAGGAAAGAGTTCCTGCCAACCATGGAAATGTTACATACCAGATACATAAACAGATCCGGGGTCGCGCCACATCCACGCTTGATTCTGTCCAATACAGTGCGTTTGGCAAATGCAAGCTGCTGTATCGTTTTCTTGGAGACAGGAAGATATTCATAAAATAGCCTTGTCCAGGGAATCGTTCCTGCGGTCTCGTGTATCCTATTGGAAAACCTCGAAAGTTCGACCGTGAAAAAGGGTGTTCAAGACAATTCCGTACTTTGTCACCGTTTGCGATAAGTTCAAAAGCCCGTTCACATCGTTTCCATCCTCCATTGAATGGAATACACCTCCCCAGCTTAAGTTTGGATCAATGAAAAAAAAAATTCTAACGAGGCGCCACTGGTAAACGTACGCGAGATCCCCCATGAAGTCAAGCCTGATATATGTACTCAATATTTACAAGACATCGAGTGAAAAATTAGGGTGCTCACGAGAAGAAAGCTATCCACTTAGCAAGGTCTATACTCTCATTCGATGAAGATTCTCTGCGCAGGGTTTCAACAAATTGGTTGATGCGGTTAGTAAGTAGTGGTTGGTATCCTTTTAGAGCAGATGTGTTAAGTCCACGGTCCCATAGGCGACGTCGTCGAGAATGCTCTTTGGGATCCACGATGCCCAAGAGACCCCGCGCATTACTATCTTCCCGCTTGACAGCATTGTATCCTTCCCAGATGGTATCAAACAAGACTGAAACCAGAAAATGAATGATAAACGTACGTTCACTTTTCAGGCAACGCGGAGAATTCATGATATATGGAACAGCTTGAGCATCTGAGATGTGTAGGTGATTTGGACCTTGATATGAAGTGAAGTGAGTGAGAACTTCTACCAGATCAACTAGAAGACCACTACGACGCCTTACCAGTTCGGACGTACGGACCATATTTTTCGTGTAGTTGCTGATAGATTTCATGTTGCTTGCCCGTGAAGAGAATCTTGAACGATGCGAGACGAGAGATCCTCAAAAGAACTGGTCCTGGAAAGCCATACAATGGATGAAGAGGCGAAAGCCGATATATTATCAAGGATGATAACAACGACCCAATGAAGATGAGCATGGTTTTGAAAACGCTCACAAACAGTGAAGCGTAGAATGAATGAAGCCCAAGCCCAAGACAGATCGGCAAACAGACGAGGAGCAAGAACCAGACTGTCTTGTTTCTGGGTTCTACGCGATTGAAAATAACGTGTACGACCTAATAATTTTTGGCAGGTTAGAAGAAACACGATGATCTTAGAAGCCTCCAAGCATACAAGAGCGCACAGAGTAGCTCCTCCTCCAGCGGTGATCATGGTAGTTCGCAACATCGTCCTGGGAATTACGTTCCAATATAAGGTTTCAGAATCACTAGTAACTTTGAGGGCATGATGAACTCGGCCGGTTCATTCAAGGTCCATTACTTACGTTCCACGAATTGATACATTATGATTCAAGTTGCAGAATTTGAGGGACCACAAAATCTGACTGCGATCCTGCAAAAACAAACAGGATCCGGATCTTTCCAAGTATTCCAGACTCCCAACGAACAATTAAATGATCTGATCTACCGGTTCTTCTAAGTAATGCCAGTGTTCTACGCAGTTTTTGGCTCAGAACACTACGTAACTCGGCAGGTCATCATGATAGAGCGGGAAGTTGCCTTGTAGAATAGGAAACATTGTCACCTACTGCAGTAACATTGAAACATGATGATGCTGTAGAGATTCCATCAGGAGGGTTCATCAAGCTGTAAGAACCCCACCAGCGCTTTAGAAAAAGCACCGCCTTGGTTGCAATTTTGATGTTCAAGTAACAAAGTTGCTGACAGAAAGAGGACTCACCTTCAAAGTACACTTTGATGCATTGTACAGTATATAGTAAACTTGTTGTTAGGGAATTGGATCTCGTCAGTATATTTCATGACACAAGTAAGGTAGCCTTAGAATCCGAAGGTCGATGAATCAGTACAAAGGATAGGATGGGAAAGTATCCAGTCTTATCCAGTATCCTGATGAGCCGTAATGAACGATCTTTGACACCAGATCACCCAGGGAATGTGCATGCAAGCGTATCAGTCATGATCCTATCAGAAAGCTGATGCATAACGGCTGTGGGCGTGAATTCTCGTGTTTGCGCTATTCTCGGCGCATAGAGGGAACTTTCCACTGAGACCCACCTTAAGGTGAACTAATGAACATGAAACCACCGGCGGAGAAGCAGTCATTAGGTCCGCAGAAAGGGTATACATGCTCCACCTGGGTTCTGCCGTACATCAGCTACAACGAAGATTTCATGAACCCAAAGCTGTTTTGCTCCCGCGTCCTATTATGTCTGCGACCATTTCGTATTTCCCTTGGACCAGATATTAAGTACGATGAGATCATTCAAAGGTTCTGCACTGGCTGCAGAGTTTGGCTACCTCCCTTACTTGTGCACCATGACCTCGTCAGTCATGTTGAGTCTGATACTAGCTCTCTTCGTATACCTTGCATTGGTTCGCATATGTCGGTACCGCCGCGTTAACAAGAGCACTGCCAGATATCCTGGATATGGCATTGGCATCGATAGGCTCGAATTGACTCCTGGGGAAGCTCAGCAAATTGTCCAGGATTCGCTCTTATATGATGCACCTTTAACCATGCTTTTGGGGTTCCAGATTACACTTTTCAAGGTGTTTGGAATTGTGAGTACTCAAATCAGTAGCTTCAAAACTTGTTGACTGAGCAAAGCCTTAGCCAACTATTGCCTCAACTTTCTATAAAAGTGGACATTTGATGAGGGAAACCGACCTGAACAAACGGCTTGTAGATGTACATATAGTCATATGGTCAGCCGCTTCATCCATTGGACTAAAATCTTGTATAGACAGTCACACTGATGGCCACTATCCTCTGCAATACATACCCTTCCCAAGCCAACATAGCTGATGAGGATCCTCGAGCTGCAATTGCTCTTGCTCGTGTTAACTGGATACACACCAGATACAAGATTGTATGTCACAATCCAATTCTAACTGACGTATCTGTTCAATGTTATGGATGTATGTCTTCCAGAAAAATGAAGACTATCTGTTCAATTTAGCTTTATTGATTCTAGAACCTATTGTGAGTCATTTTGACTCTGAAATACTCAATTACACACAGCGAGTAGCAATTGACAGAGCATTTCAATTGGAGACCACATAGTCTGTTGGAGAAGAAGGTGATTCAATAATGAAAGTTTATGATTATCTACAATTTGGTTCTTTACAGGCTATATTCACTCTGTGGACCAACATAGGTGAAAGCATGGGGATTAAGAATATTTGGTCTACATTTGAAGAGATGGAGCAGTGGACCACTGTTTGTCTGCTTATCTATTTATACTGTTGATATACTGACACAATATTCCCTGTTGAATCTCCCCAGTCATATAGAAAAGAGAATATAATGCCCTCAGAAGAAGCCTATAAGCTATCACGAGCCACCATTAATCACTTTCTCAATGGCATACCAGAACTTCTAGGCTTAAGATTTGTTGCATACAATTTTTTCCTGACTCTGCTGGATGAGCAATCACGTTTGGCCTTGCAGTATGCTCACATATATATTGCCTCAAGTCTGGAACTAATAGCAACTTGTGATCTATAGACTCCCGCCACCAAGTCCAGCAATTGCTTTCATTATATTGACTCTCTTCCGCGCTAGAGTATGGATAGTTCGATATCTCTGCCTTCCTAGACTCAGCCCATCTCTATGGGTTCCAATGGACACTGAGGACACTAGCACCACAACCGGGATACACCGATTGCAAGCTGTGCTGTATGTTTCCATGAGTCTTGACCCTTCAGCTTCACAATTCTTGCACTCTAAATCAAATGATCCAGACTTCGTAGCTCAGGACCTTATTATTATCCTGAGAAGACAGGAATAGCATTGAAAATTCAGAGCCTTTTGATTATGCTTGGACTACAAGATCCAAACAAAATTCCAGGGAAAAAATGGAGGAGTGAGGGATATCGACTTGAAGAGTTGGGACCTACACAGTGGGAGAATGGTGAGAGTGGCATTTAATTATCACAGGGGTAAGCTGATATGACATGTTGTTGATACAGTGGGTCATGAAAAGGTAATGGAAGCTGCTTCAAAAATTCAAGTACGTAGTGTCAGTTTAGTACTTACTGTGCATGTCATACTAAGAGCAACTGATTGTCACAGGGGCACCCGATCACTGGTATATGGTCTCTGTTGTCGCGAAAGAAGGGAGTCTGAACAACTGATAAGGATGGAGAGAGATGCATAATGTTTAACAACCAGTATATGGATCTATAAATTTTGACATTAAAGAAAAATCAAATCCTGTTGTTTGCAAACTCGAATAGTAGGAGTTACACTAGGAAGACATCAAAATCTCTAGGAAAGCACGAGTGATGTGATGAGGTATAGGCTGAATGGGTTGATGATACAAATAGTGTGGCTGAAATGGTAGATACCCGCATGTTGAACTTACCTGCAGGATTAGAATCAGAAGAGGGTTTCCAGACACGGAATATCCTCACACACCTTTACATCTATATTTTGATCAGTTCTATTGATTCAGAACAGGAAAGCAAATTACTTAATCATTCAAGTCAACTGCAACCTGTGCCAAAGGTATCAAACCTGCATTTCTGATCTCGAAGATGGAATCTGAAATCTGAATGCATGTACTGTGATGTAAGATTGTCTTCCCACAGTGAACCATTGAACTGTATCAAACCTTAGCTTTTAACAAAAAGAGCCATGTTGTTCAGGAGCAAGACTAACATTCCCTTCTCATACCCTCAATCCTTACAAGTTTTGCTCATATATCTACCTCATGTCAAATCCTCCATTACCAGTTTCCAACATGCAGCAGAAGTCAAAGACTGCACCAGGTGAGGATGCTGACAACTTTATTGAGGGAGGCTTCAAGGCATGGTGCACTGTAATTGGCGGGTAGGTTTCAAAAGCCATCTTCATCCCGAGGAAGCTGTTTAAAGCACTTTCGACCCTAGTTTTTTTGCAATTACTGCAGTATTTGGGTACCAAAATGCATTTGGGGTCTACCAAGACATCTATGTTCGCTCAAATGCAGCTTCTGCACAAGCAGTAAGCTGGATTGGTTCAACTCAACTTGCCCTCATGGTTGCACTTGGTCTTCCGGCTGGGAAGCTGCTAGATTTTGGATACTTCAAAATTATGACAGTAATGGGATCCGCAATATATGTGTTTTCGTGTGTCTCTTACACTCAATATTCTTTCCAGTTGATTTACTCTAAAAACAGTATATTTATGGTATCCATTGCCCATACCGACAAATACTATCAGCTTTTCCTTTCGCAAGGCTTAACAGCAGGTATTGGTGCTGGCCTTGTGTATGTACCTGTTATGGCTGTCCAGACTCACTACTGGCGACGACTTCGTCCGGTAGCAATGGGTATTGTGATTACCGGTGCGTAATCCTTGCCTTCAACATCAATTTTCATTTAGACCTGTTGATTTATGTTATTAAAGGATCGTCTGTCGGAGGCATCATCTTTCCTATCATGCTAAACAGACTCATTACAAATCCAAGGGTTGGTTTTGCTTGGGGCGTACGAGCATCTGCATTTATTTGTCTTGGCTTGCTCATTATCGCCAACATTCTTATGACTGCAAACCCACCCAAGACTCGAAAGCCAGATCCACCCAAGTTGACTGTACTCTTCACTGACACAGCATATATCTTTGGAATTCTTGGGTGAGTCATGATCATATAAATGGTCTCCTTGTACCAGATTTTCATCTATAACAAACAATGTCGTTGTAGTGCTGCAGCTGCAGACTGGGGATTCTTCTTTCCTTGTAAGTTATCCTTTTTTTCCAGTACTGTTCAGTTACCAACTTGGGTTGTGTGCAGATTTCTACTTGCAATTGTTTGCGGCCATCAAAGGAGCCGATGCAACTTTCTCATTTTACTTGGTGAATGTTCTGCATTACTTGATGTCTTACCATCAGAATTTTCTGATGGCCCATTTAGCTGGCCATTCTCAATGGGTCATCTATTCCTGGTCGAATCATTCCCAATATTCTCAGCCAAAAGTTTGGGGTCTTCAACACTCTTGCCTTCTGTACTTTCGCATGCAGCATTCTTATCTTTGCCCTTTTGGGTGTGGACAAATCAGTTGCCGCTCTTGTCATCTTTGCTATCCTTTATGGATTTTTTTCTGGAGGGTGTGAGTAATTTTTGCTACACTATGGTTCAGTAGGATATTGCTTTACTTAATCCTGCAACCACAGTCATTTCCCTTTTAGCACCAGTTATTGCTTCCTTAGCAAGAGATGAGAGTGAGATCGGGTATGTCTCAGAACATCAATATCCTTAATATTTTGTCTACTGAGTTTACCATCTAGGATCCGCTTGGGTCTTGCCTACTTCATTGGTTCATTTGGGATTTTAGCTGGAAACCCGATTGCTGGTGCTCTTTTGGGAGAGACATTTCCATGGTGGAGACCTATTGTGTTTAGTGCAGTAAGTGGAGTGATCCTCTATGACAAAATATTTACTAGAATGATCTAGGTAATGATTCTTGTGGGACTTGCACTTGTTCTCACATCCCGTACTGTCCGTGCTCACCAGACACAGTCTCAATATGTATAAATCTTAACTGGTAGTGGCAAGTCATTGAATGCTTGATGTGTGAAGCCTAATTTGTACTTCTTGAAATTAAGCTACCACGATGCATGTGCATAAACCTATGATCACTGCTTCAAGATTACATGACCATGAATCATTGATATATGCTACTATTTTCTGCCTTAAGTTGTTGACCTCTATTGGGACTGCTCTGGCTGCACCTGTTAGGAAAGTACATCTGCAAAACCTGTATGTTCGGCTAAATAGCCGAAAGCAGCTCAGAGCACTTGGGAGCACTTCCCAGCAGTGAAAGCACCCAGAGCAGGCTTTGATTTTTGCTTTGGGTGCTTTCGTTGCTGGAGAGCGCTCTCCAGCTAGTATCCTTGCTCTGGCGAGTATACATGTTTTGCAGATGTACTCCATACGTACTGACTGACTCTCGAACTTATCCCGTACCTGACCGCCTCTCGGGGATCCTATAACCAAAAGACAGCATTATTACCTAGATCACACAGTTGGCAGCAGCGCCGACTCACCTGAGTTGCTACAATATCAACTGAGGTGAGCCTGCTAAATATATATAGACACAATACTGATACTAACCCATAGTAGTTTGATTTAACTCAGCAGGTAGATATACAGTTGTTACAATATCAACTGAGTTTAACTTAACTCAACAGCACATGTAAATGGCCATATATTCACGGTCACTGGAATACTTTACTTATATTGAATCATAGTATAGATCATCATATTCTCATTACTAGTACCACTCAACCTTGTAGACAAGCATGTCAACAATGCAACAACAGTTCTATGATCATCATCTCAACACAAGCAGGCTTTATTACAGCTTTATTATGACCCTACATAGGTCAAATCATAGTTGAAGATGCAAGCAATACAGATAGTCCCTATATTCAATCAAGGAGTTTATTGCAAATATACTCATGATTATTGACTGTACATGGTTTGTAGAATTCATAACACTGAAATAGAACAATCTGAATTTTGTGACTGAATGGATATGATGCTTTGCCACATGTGCATGTAGATTAAAGCTTCGAAACTGGGCTACAGATTATGTCCCGAATGAGTTGTGACACTAGTTTGGCAAAATCTGCTGGTTTTTCTGCGGGAACCTACCATAGCATCCTGTTAGACAAAGCTGATGTATGTGAGTGTAGACATACCATGTGTGAGGCTTCTATCTGGTGCACACCAGCAACTTTCCGTCCTTTGGAGGTATCAATAACACAGGCTTTCCATTCTCGTGGGCTGTACAAAAATGATCAGCATTTTATAGCATCTAATAAATTAGTACCAACATCAGCTTATCTTTTGAGCCAAACACCACATGAATTGGTATGATAGATGAAAGTTGTTCCAGCATACTCAATGCATCCCAAGATTCCTGGTACCGTCCATATGTTGAAGCCTCCTCAGCTCTAGAGCAAATTAACTTTACTCCTTGCTTCCCATTCACTTCATAATTTTCCAAACCATGACACTATGATATTCATGGTCAGCCTAAAGCTGCAGGTCAAACTTTGTTTCACTTACCATGTAGCTTTCAAAAACAGACTGCTCCCATTGTGACCATGGAAGCTGTTTTGTTAGGTATTGCCTAGCCGCTTCTTGATTAGGCCAATTCTCAGCCTGGCTCATGATACCTTTCTTCATCATTTTGACTATCATGTTAGATCTTGGGTGATCCGGGGATGATGTCTCGCGGTCAAACATGAGTGGTTCCACAACAACTAGACCTATGACTGGAGTAGACTTTTCAGCAGAAAAGATTGGGCAAAGGCCATTGAACCTTTCAGTGTGGTCAGGAAGCAAGATAACCTGGGAGGAAACAACTTACATAGCCAGTGTTCCAATGGAAAAACCAACTGCAATGACTTGCTTGTTCTTCAAGTATCCTTGCATAAAGAATGCAGATATCCCACTAGCCCACACAGTGACAGCTTGCAGCAGGAATGAGATCAATATGAAAATATTGAATTAAGTAAAGAGACGGACATATGCCTTGTATATTGTTTTCGAGAAGGACTGGTTTGTTAAGGGTTGCTGATTCACCATGACTCGGCCATTCAGGTGTCCAAGCCTCAGAGATGTGATAGCATTGAGCAAAGTCCGCATTTCCTTCGGCTTCATCCCAAAGGTTTGCTAACACAGGCTCCCATTGCTCTTTTGCTAATATCCAAAGTTGAAGCACGAGAATATTAAACAAAGTGATATACATACTTTGACCAAGACCATGAAAGAGAATAAGGGATATATTGCTGCAAGATGGGTCTATCCTTGCTAAAGGTGTACGCGTATAACGGTTCACAACCATCTTGAGCGATGGGAGGCCATCCACAGGAGGTGTGTTAACGACGACTTTCTCTGTTTGAAGAATAGACATGGTGGAAAGGAAGTAGGGTGGTCTACATTACTAAATCCAAGGCTCTTTTGGCTGCGGTACAAATATCGATCATCATTTTTTGATCGGATGTCAACAATGCGCAGTACTGACATTGACTGAACCATATCATGAGATCGAAACCATGACCATGTAACCATCATCAATTTTCACTGCCTTATAATTATCCATCTGATCAACAGCAAGGATAGTCAACCCGCTATAGAACCTTATGGAACCCAAAAATCAGAATATGGGACGGAACTTCTTTTCTTGTGGCAAAATTTTTCATCATTTGCTACAATCACCGCTGCAAGAATTTTCAACCGGATGTCACTGATCATCTTCCGGTGGGTGCAATGTTGTTTACCATAATAGTATTACATAGATTTCAAGGTATTGTAACCTCTTTATCTTATGTGACTCGATTACGGCGGGAGAAGAACCGTCCATGAGGACAAAGGAAGAGATCCGAACTTAAAGGCTATGCAAAAGCTGGAATTCTTGAAACTTGTTCCGCTCAAAGAGGGCATGACCAGTACATGTACACCGGGAATCTGGTTGAAGACTGGTGGGTCCATTGAAATTCCGCATAAACTTAGTCTCATTGGCTGTGTTCATGAAGAAGGTATGTAAGGGAGAAATGACTCGAGTGCTTCCATACAGAACATCCACCATATCTGCACCTCATGCATGGATTGATCAGAGCTGAGCAATTGCCTGCACCTCCCCCACTTGATGCTAGCTTGGGAGCCATAATCATAGGTAGTATTCTTGCATTCTGCTTATATGGGGCTATGGGTATACAGGTTTATTGTTATTACCAACACAATTTCAACAAGGACCCGTTCTGGATTAAATTTTTGGTAAATTCTTCTCAATGAGTTTATTTAATGTTATCTGCAACTGATAAACATCTCAATGGTATGGCTTAGGTTTGTTGGAGCACGTTAGTTTTTTTCTGATTCTTCACCATTTCCAAGGAACACTCGTGACTGACTGGCCTTGTTTAAAGGTTCATTGAGACAATTCATACAGTATTTATTTCGGTCACTTTATACCAGACCGTAGTCACGCATTTTGGAGACTACAGCTATTTGACTGTTGCGCACTGGCCTTTGTCGTACTCTGTGGCCATGTCCACTCTCATTAGTGCTCCAGTCCAGGTCTGCAATTTTTACTCAGATGTTTTCTTTACTTAAATTCATCACCAATCAGACATTCTATGCGTTCCGCATATCCACTCTCTCGAAAAAGGTGTGGGTGCTGTGCTTGTCTATACTGGCCTCCATTATTCGAGTTGCACTGGGCTTTACGGATGCTGCCTTGTCTGAAAAAGCCACTGAGCTACTGGTCTTTCAGCACAAATTTCTTGGATATATTGTGGGGGCATTAGCAGTTGGTATAGCTGTTGATATTGTTAACACCATCTCTCTTATCCTCCTCTTGCTGAAAAATAAGGGAATGAGCATGAGGAGGTAAGCTCTTCCCTGATATTGCCAATTTTATTTCATGTACTGACTCCATGACTAGCTCAAGGAAAACTATAGACAGATTAGTCCTTTGGACAGTGGGTGAGATCCATTGAACTGTCTGGTGGTTTTTGATAATTTACAGCCCGTCGACCTAGAAACTGGGCTTTTGACTAGGTTGGTGAGACCTGCTTGGTGCAAAGCTCCAATAAAATCTGAAATAAATACTTAGCATTGCAAATTTCATGTCATTAATACTGGTGCATGTTGAATGGTGTTTTTTACAGACCCATGATGCTAACTATGTATAACAGGCTTTGTCTATACAGTCACAAGGTTATACCCCACTACCTACCTTATGCATACCAAATACTGATTAACCTTGGGGATTCAGCAACATGGGTTGGCCCCATCCTTTTTACTGCAAAATGTGAGTAGGAAATTTGCTCTTTAGTCACTAGTAAAGGTCTAAATAAAATCAGTGTACTCAAATGCCCTGCTTGCATCGTAAGCTTTGGGGAATCCTTGGTCCATGCTTGGCCTGAACACCTCATCACAGACTGAATGGACGAGTGTCTCTCAAGGCAACAATCTCTTCAGTGCATACTCATATTTCCAGCTTTTCACCAGCTTATGCACCTTCCTCCTCGGTATGTGGGCTATAACCCCGTAGTAGTATGTACATGCCATGGTTTGCAGTGCTTAGTGTCGTCAATACAGGACGGTACTGGAATTCAGTTCAATGGCCAATCTCATAACAGTGGACTCGTCCTCCGTTCTTTTGCTCATACTACTACCAGTCATATCGAGGCAACACAAGACAATGAACGAAGTACCGATGTTATCAAGAGTGATCCGGAAGCTTAGCACAAGGGTCACTGCTAGGCAACCTTGCGAGTTGTATAGTCAATAGTCTTACTTGTATGGTCAATAGTTTTCCTTGTATCATATCACATCAAATAGTGTTAAATATATATTTTTCATTTATTTTATTGACATACGCAGAGTCTTCCTCAGTCATGAATCATCAGCCTTGGTTCAGTTTGGGCTCGTCTCGAGCTGCTTGAACTTGGATATTTTTTCAAAACTTGAATTCAGAGAACAAATATAAGATATGAGAGGGTCTACAGTGAGTCCAGGAATGGCAACAATACGAAGATTAGGTGTTGAATTCTACACCATTCAAAAAGAAACCAAAGACTTTGAAAAAAACCAAAAACTATGTAAATATAGATGAAGTAGTAAAAAAAGTCTTTACAAAAAAAAGTTGGGACAGGGTTCGGAACATGTTGGATAAATGGATGGATGGAAATAGATGGAATGTAATAGATATAGAGAGTAGAAGCTCATTGGGAATAGAGAGCAGTTATACCATCATCATGTTCCATCGTACCTGTCCTTCAGATTCTATCTGTAACAATACCACTCACCCCGTTCAACACCCCCCACTCCATTGTAGAGTCTAGACAACTTCTGCGCTCTCCTGTTCTCCTTCACGCATTCACCCCATTCACGGATTAAACGACCCATGCACCAACGCGTCCCACGCGCTCTGCGTCGTGCCTTCGAGGACTTGGATGAATTCGTTTCTTTCGTGTCTTTCGTGTCTTTTGTGTTCGTTGTGTTCGTTGAGTTCTTCGTGTCTTTGGTGTCTTTGGTGTCTTTGGTGTTCGTCGGGTCTTTTGTGTTTAGAGTATTCGGAACAGGAGTCGAGTTTGGATTTGTGTTATTCGAAACGGGAGTCGACTCGGAAGGAGGATAAGGAGGAGGATAAGGAGTCGAAGGAGTCAAAGGATAAGGAGGATAAGGAGTCGACTTGGAAGGAGGAGGAGGTCCTGGGGCTTGATTGTTTGTGTGAGGAGGGGCTCGGCTAGGACTCTGAGGATGAGGATGAAGTGCCAGTGCTGGTGCTGGGGAGGGTATGGGTGTGGGTATCGGCGTTAAGTCCACGGTCCCACGGTTGACATCGTCGAGAATGTTCTTTGGGATCCACGATGCCCGCTGAGAGACCCCGCGCATTACCAGCATTGTATCCTTCCCAGATAGTAGGATCAAACAAGATTGAATGAATGAATGATGAACGTACGTTCACTTTTCAGGAAACGCGGAGATTTTTATGATATACTGGAAAGCTTGAGCAATGAGCAATCGGAGATGTGTGAGGTGGATTTGGACCTTGATATGAAGTGAAGTGAGTGAGAAATTCTACCAGATCAACTTGAAGTGAAGACTGCTTAGTACTAGTATACAATGACGCCTCATACCAGTTCCGTTCGGCCGTACGTATGGACCATATTTTGTTTTCGTGTAGTTGCTGATAGAGTTCATGTTGCTTCCCCGTGAAGAGAGAGAATCTTCAAGTTGAACGACGCCAGACAAGAGATCCTCGAAACAACTGGTCCTGGAAAGCCATACTACTAGGTACAAATACAATGGATGAAAAGCCTGCTGAAAGAGGCCAAAAGTCGATATATGATCATTGATCAAGGATAATTAGTAATAGTAACATCTTTAAAGACCCAATGTCATTAAATTGAACCCTGTTCAAACTTCAATCCGGATTATTGAAAACGCTCCCTCACGAACTTCAGCGAAGTGTACTAGGAAGCGTACTAGGAATTGAATGAATTGTTGGGTAAGTTCTCAGTTGATAAGGAAGCAACTTAGTGTATATATATCTAAGTACCTGTTGGGTAAGTTCTAAGGTACTTTAGTAAGGCTAGAAAGAAAAAGAAAAATAAACAATCTCACCTCAGTTGATAAGGAAGCAACTGAGGGAGTATAAAGTAATGTATCGAGTATATATGGTGATCGAGAGGCAAATAGGAGTAGAAAGAAATCGGTGGCCGGAAAAGAAAGTCGCACAGATCAAAGCTAAGCATACGAAGTATTAGTCTAACACCCCCCCTACTGCGTATGCTGCAGGTTGAGTAATTTAATCATTTGAGAATGTGTAGTCCCCGAAAGTGCTTTCGTTGTTATGTCTGCCACATTATCACCGGTACGGATTCGAACAACCTTCACACTACCATCTTTAACCCTCTCTCTGATATAGTGTTCACGCATATCGATGTGTTTGACGAGCGAATGATTTCTTGGTTCCTCTGACAGAGACACAGAACCAAAGTTGTCGCCGTGGATAAAAGTAGGACCGTCGAGCGGCAGGTCGATTTCTTGAATAAAGGAACGAAGCCAGCACGCTTGTTGGCAAGCTTTTGAGAGACCAATGTATTCTGCTTCCACTGTAGATAGTGCCACGGAGCCTTGCCTTTTTGAAGCCCAGGAAACAGGAGCCCCACCCATGAAAAATATGTAACCCGCAGTAGATCGACGAGTAACTAGGCACGAAGCCCAATCACTGTCCGAGTATCCCAGAGGTGCAAGACCAAGGCCCAGGCGATGGTCCCCAGACTTGGGTGCGCAATAGGTGATAGAATAATCAAGCGTTCCGCGAATGTAGCCTGCAAGCCATTCACACGCATTCCAATGAGTAATGCCAGGGTTCAGCTGGAAGCGAGCAAGGAAATTCGAAGCGAACGCGATATCCGGTCTTGTTGAGCAAGCTCCCCAGAGCACAGATCCAACGAATGAGCGGTACGGCTTATCCGACATGAATTTCCTGTCGAGTTCGGGGATTGGATTCGGAGATTCAGTGATTTTTGCTTTCGGATCTAATGGTGTTCGGCGGATACGAATGTCTTCAAACCCGAAGTGTTCTAGCATACGCTCGAAGTATGATTTCTGGGAGATCGTGATGGATTTGGAGATCGGGTCTTGGAAAATGGTCATTCCCAAGAGAACACCCGAATTAACTTCGCTTGACTCCCATCTCTTTCCTAAGTCCGCAATAGCTTTCTTTCTACCATCTTCGGATGAAGAGGCACCATTCACGTCGTCGCCATATGTAGTGGAAAGGGTATATTCATCGCCTATGCGACGATATCGTACGCAGGGATCGGCTCTTGAAGCAATATACCCGTCCTCCTGATATCCTTTTCCTAATGTATCCTGCCAGTCGTGGCTACCCTGCATCGTGCCATAAATCGACTTGTTCAGTTTACACACCTTGTGCTCTTCCCCTTCTTTGACAAATCCTTCAGGCTGTTTCATATACACGTCGTGGTTGATAGGAGAGTTCAAGAAAGCTGCTTTGAAGTCCACTTGGAACATAAAAAGACCGAGGACTGCAATAATCGCAAGAACTATGCGGACAGATTCCATACGCGCAACCGCACCATACGTTTTATCGTAATCGACACCTTCGATCTGGGTAAAGCCCTGTGCAACATATCGAGCTTTACGTTTCGCAACCTCGCCATCTTTGGACCATTTGATTGCATAAACCCATCTCCCTCCTGTGACGTTCGCATTCGGGGGCAGATCCACTAAAGTCCAGCAATTCTTTTCTATCAGGGTGTCGTATTCAGTTTGCATTGGAGTCCTCCAGAGTTCGGGACGACGCATCGCCTGTTTGTACGTATTCGGGACCCATTTATCGCTTGATTCAGCAGCGAAAGCGAATGGAGCATTTGCCACCATCGCCAGAGGATTTTCGTCGAGTTCGTCTATACCACCAGAATCACGAGCCCACGCGAGGTTCCGTTTGAAAGCAGATCGTTCCCTCTCAGCTGATTCCTCGAATTGGATTTGACGAACTGATGGTTCTCGTATACGAGCACTACGTCTCGGACCAGTCTCTGGTTCTGGATTTGGTATCGGTAAGGGTTGAGCAAGTGGTTGATCCGCGAAAAGTTCGGGTAGTCCTTCGTAATTAGGAGTAGGAGGTGTGGTAGGTGTTGAGGGAATGGATGCGACTGAGGTGTCAATTTGATTTTCGTTAGCCGGGATATCAGGCACGGCATCTGGAGCCGAACCGACGTCGACATCAACAAATACTTCACCATCAACTTCATCTGGTACTGCGGGGGCAGATCTGCGAGGATCCCCTTCTTCAAATACGACGCTGCGGGATTCGTGGAATGTTCTGGTCTGAGGCAGCCAGATTCTATAACCTCTTCTTCCAATATACCCAACAAATCGCCCCTCGACAGCTTTAACACTTAATTTCCCATCCGTCTGGATTGCATCCAGTGTAGCCCAGCATTTGCAGCCAAAAGGTCGGAGATGGGAAACGTCATGACGCTTCTTCGTGTATATTTCAATTGGCACCTCGTTTGGGAAACGAGAAGAGGGAATGAACGCGTTTACGTAGCAAAAGGTGAGTGCTGCTTCAGCCCACATCGAAGGGGGAAATCCGGCGTCAACTAAGAAAGTCCTGACCCCATCTAGTACAGTCCTATTCGCTCGTTCGGCTACGCCATTGGCTGAGGAGGATCTTGGTGGAATCATTTCGATTACAATACCATGTTCTCGGCAGTAATCTCGGAACCACCCATTATCAAACTCTCCACCACCATCTATCCGGAATATCAACACCTTAAGGCCTGTTTGTCGCTCCGCCATCGTACGCCAGTCATGAATTGCTGTTAGGACCGTCTCTTTCCGCTTGTTTGTTAGAAAAGTCGGAGCTTTGACAGACGAACGCCCATCAGTCGCAAGTAACATCCACGTTGCGCCGCCAATACTCTGCGTTCGAGTTGGACCGAAAAGATCAAGATGGATACGTTCGAGGACTTTAGTTTCGTGTGTAAGTTTCTCATCAAATGGTCGGTGAGTCGCTTTCCCTAAGATGCATGGTTCGCATTTACCAGCTACTTTCTTAGAGGTGATTTGCAAGCCGTCGACCAGGTTGTGCCTCTGCATCAGGAGTATTCGATCAATAGCTGGATGGCCAAGTCTGCGATGCCAAGTATGAATGTCGACAGGTTTATTAAGAGACCTAGCGAAGTTTGCAAATGAGGGCGTGAAGTGGGCTTGTACTTCATACATTGTGCCCTTTCCTTCGCCCTGCATAATAATGTTTCCATTCGCGGTTCGTACGGTGAGTGACCCTCTACCCCATTCTCCTTTCATTCCTTTCGCGTCCAACGTTCGCAACGAGATTAGGTTGTGATGAAAGGATGGAGTATGATACACGTCATGCAGTCGGCATCTTCTCCTTATTCCATCCACTGTTGTCTCGAATTCCACAATACCTTTCCCATGAATCTCGAATTCTCCTGCCTTTCCGGCAATCGCTGACTTCCCTGCCTTTCCATACAGATTCTCATACTCAATGAAATCATCCCTTCGCACCCAGAAATGATCGCTGGCAGCTGAGTCTAAAAAAGTTTGAGGTACTTGTGGTCTCGAGGCAGCATATAGTAAAGTATTTTCATTGTGAGCCGAACAAGCAGTACATCCGTCAACGTTCGAGAATTGATCGGGAATCGAAGATTCTAATACGTCTATGTTGTGCGTAACCTCTTTATTTGCACCATACCCTGTTGATACTGACATACAGTTTCTACAGGTATGGGCATTAGGAAGTTGGGTAGACGAAATGGGTGTTGAGGGTGACGTACACAAATCGAAGAGTTCCATGATAGTATGATTTCCACCGTCGCTAGCGTAGTTCGCAGTCTGAATTACTGGGGTTTCGGCTTTCTTAGGTCCTCCCCCTTCATTACCGCCACCGGGTGCCCAACATTTTTCAATCATATGAGTGCGACGTCGACGAGGAGGGCAGTTTGGATTCGTACACGCAGGGTGGTCCTTCTTGGGAGCAGACGCAACATTTGCCGAGTGGAAGGAGGCCATCTCCTGAGCTATGAGAGCACGAACTTGACTACGCTGTCGGATGTCCTCCTCATCCTCCTTCTTATTGTCGTATACTTGACGAAGGTGGATAAATGCGTCATCGCTCGAGGTTCCCTTGACATTGATTAGGAGATCTCTCCACGACTTCGGCATGGATGCGATTACAATAAGTCGGAATTGAGAGTCGAGACAGGAACCGCCCAGGTTACGAAGCTCCTTTAGGTGATTCTTCATGGTCTTTTCATGTTCCTCAATGGTCGTATTATTGGGGTCAAATCGAGCGGACCGGAGTTTAGTGTCAGCCTGGTGTACGCGCATTTCATCCCGTCTCTCATATTTCTTCTTTAATTCAGCCCAGATATGATACGCAGGTTTTTCACGTTCGACGCCTAGCCCAACGGGATCGACAATATTGAGGTAAATTATGCTGGCGGCCATCCTGTCACGTTGACGCCATTCATGCGGGAAAGGGGTCGGACTATACGCAGGTGTAGATGTGGACGCAGGAGGATATAGTGTAGATGTGGATACATAACCACCAACAGGAGGCCGAATAATGGTGCCGTCAAGATATCCTTCAAGTTCCCGAACTTCAATATGCGCGAGGACTTGGTCTTTGAAGACTCGCCATGTATTCTCGCCGGTCAATTGGGATGATTCGGGGAAGCGCGGGATCGACAGCGAACTAGCTGTGGAGGACATAGCTTCGAAGATAAGGATTGACTATAGTCGATGTATTAGTTTCGTCTCTTAAGCTCGGTTGAGCTCCAGTCTCATAATCTGTTGGGTAAGTTCTCAGTTGATAAGGAAGCAACTTAGTGTATATATATCTAAGTACCTGTTGGGTAAGTTCTAAGGTACTTTAGTAAGGCTAGAAAGAAAAAGAAAAATAAACAATCTCACCTCAGTTGATAAGGAAGCAACTGAGGGAGTATAAAGTAATGTATCGAGTATATATGGTGATCGAGAGGCAAATAGGAGTAGAAAGAAATCGGTGGCCGGAAAAGAAAGTCGCACAGATCAAAGCTAAGCATACGAAGTATTAGTCTAACATGAATGAATGAATGAACTTTGCCCAAAGCCCAAAGCCCAAGCCCCAGACACTGAGACAGATTGGTATTAAGTAAGGTAAACAGATGAGGGAGCAAGAACCAGACTGTCTTCTGTCAAGTTGTTTCTGGGTTCTACATCATAGGTGGTTGAGGATAACGTGTACGACCTAGTAATGACAGGTTAAAAGAAATACAATGATTTTTAGAAGCCCTTCAAGCATACAAGAGTGCATAGAGTAGTACTAGTAGTAGTAGTAATTCCTCCTTGAACTTGAGCAGTGATCATGGTAATTTTCACAACACTGTCCTCACTCCTCACTGGGGGAACGACGGTTCCAAATTCCGAATTCCAAATTTCAACTTTATAAGGAAGGTTTTCAAGTTCAATTTCAGAATCACTGGTAACTTGAATGCCATGATGGTAACTTTGAGGGTCTATGACTTATGTTCCGCAGGTCACTGACTCTGAAAGAGGAGTGAGTCTGAAAGAAGAGTTTGAAAGACGAGTCTGTCAGAGGACTCGGTCCTTGTAGGTCCTTGTTCGCACCAAATGGCAATCAAAACTTGTCATGAGTTTTTCATGATGGTAAGTACTTACATAGTGTCCTAGTAGTCTGTCCTAGTCTGTCCTAGTATGTCCTAGTATGTAATACAAATGTGCAATGCTTTTCGAGGGTTCTGCCAGTGGGCTCCGGCACACTCAGGCTGCAGCTGGTTTGCAGTCTCAGTTTGCAGCCTGGTTCCTGAGAATAATGCCAATGTGAATGTGAATGATGTGAATGTGCAGTGCAGTGCTTTCGGGATTTCTGAGGGTTTCCGGTGCACTTGCTCAGAGCTTGCTTAGAGATGCTCAGAGATGCCTCAGGCCCTTAAGTTCAGGGTGGGTCTAACAAGGTTTAACGAGTCAAAGTTCATCTTGGTTCTTGAGTGTAATACACATTTCCCAAATCTAATGGCCAATGGCAAATGCATTTCAGGGTATAAAAACGGACATGGCATTTGTTCTATAAAAACGGACATGGCATTTGTTCTATAAAAACGGACATGGCATTTGTTCTACATATAAAAACGGACTTAATATTTCAGAGGAAAGCCGACCTGAGTAGTAGTGAGTAGTAGTGAGTGAGTGAGTGAGTTAGTACACAGCTTATTCAGCCTTATTCAGCGTTATTCAGTCTGAGACAGCCTGAGATAGCGTGAGATAACAACTTAGCATGAGATAGCAGGTTGAAGCTTGAAGTATGAGATAACAACTTCGCAGGAGAGGGCTACATAGTACATAGTACATAGTACAGTAAGTCAGTGTGTCAATGAGTCAGTGGGTGGGTGGGTCAGTGAGTCTAGGACTGGGACAATACGAATATGAAGATTAGGGGTCGAATTCGAATTTTAGTCTATACTATACTATACTATGCTATTCAAAGAGGGTTGAACTGGGGAGTTTGAAGGACATCTGTAAAACCTGTATTTTCGGCTAAGAGCTCGAAAGCAGCTGACAGCACTGTCCAGCTGGGAGTGCTTTCAGTGCTGGACAGCGCTCTCTAGCTAGTACCCTTGCTCTCGCGAACATCCAGGTTTTGCAGATGGAGTTTGGAGTTGGATTTAGGTGTGGGTAGATGTAAGTAGGATAAAGTAGATAAAGTAGGATGAAGTATGTATGTAGTGAAAATGTTTATGAAAATGTTTATGAAAAAAGGTGGGATGGGGCGGGGTAGGGTGGGATAGGGTGAACATAATGACATGTTGGATGGATAGATAGAAATAGATGGAATATAATAGATATAGAGAGTACTTCGGAAGCTCGTTGGGGAATAGAGAGTGGTTATACCTTATACCTTATACCATGGTCCATCGTACTTGTCCTTTGAGTTTTGTTTGTGATAACACCGACACTGCTCAGCCTGTTCGACACCCTTCACCCTGTTCATCACCCCACACTCCACCCCACTGCATCGTAGAGTATAGACAACCTCTTCTCCTCACCTCCCCTCCTCCCCACCCTCTCCCCTTCCCCTCTCATCTCATCATATGAATCTTCTTTTTCTTCTTTTTCTTCTTTTTCTTCTTCAAGTTCCTTCTCATTCTCTCCCTTCCCCTTCCTCTTCCCCCCTTCCCCTTCCCCCCTTCCCCTTCCCCCCCACCTTTCCTCACCTTCCCCCAGCTTTTAGTACATTAGTACATTAGTACATTAGTACATCACACATCACACATCACACATCACACAGTACACTAGGCACTAGGTACTAGGTATTGCTCACAAACAGGTAAGTCTCACGAACAGGGTACGTCTCACAGGGTACGTCTCACAAACACAAACACACCAAGCACATACCAGTGTCCGTCGAGTTTAGTAACATACGTACATATATACGTACATACATATAGCGAAATAAGATGAAACGACGAAACAACGATTCTAAAACAATGATTCTAGAACAACGAAACAACGAAACGACGAAATAAATTGAGAACCGCGTTCATGGACAGTGAAAACGACTGAGATATGTATTCGCCCTTCTTCTTCTTCTTCTTCTAACCCAACGTACCAAAGTACCGAAGTACCAATGACCACCCTTCCTAAATCCCAAATCCACCCAAATCCACCCGAGTCCACCCAAAACCACCCAGATCCAACGGTTCGAGGGTTCTAGGGTTCCAGGGTTCTCTGGTTCCAGGGTTCTAGGGCTCCAGGGTTCTCGGGCTCTCAGGTTCTCAGGTTCTCAGGCTCTCTGGTTGGGTTCTCGGCTTCACGGGCTCTCTGGCTCTCTGGCTCTCCGGTTCTCCGGCTCTCTGGCTCTCCGGTTCTCCGGCTCTCGACTTCTCTGGTTCTACCGTTCTCGGCTTCACGGGTTCCCGGGTTGGGTCCTCGAGTTCACGGATTAAACCCCCCATGCACCAACGCGTCCCACGCGCTCTGCGTCGTGCCCTCGAGGACTTGGATGAGTTTGGTTTTGGGTTTGGTTTGAGTGTTGAGAGGATTCGAAGGATTCGAAGGAGTCGAAGGAGGATTAGGAGGAGGAGGAGGATTCGAAGGAGGATTCGAAGGAGGAGGAGGAGGAGGTGGAGGAGGAGGAGGTGGAGGATAAGGAGTCGAAGGAGGTGGAGGAGGTGGAGGAGGAGGAGGAGGTGGAGGTTCTGGGGCTGATGCTGGTGCTGGTGCTTGGCTGTTCGGAGGGGCTGGGCTGTGGGGATCAGGTGCCTGTGCTGGTGAGGGTAGAGATGCTGGTGCTGGTGCTGGTGGGGGAACGGGTACGGGTAGAGGTGCAGGTGAATGTGAATGTGCAGGTGCAGGTACAGGTGCAGGTACAGGTGCGAGGAAAGGGGAAGGGGAAGGTGCGAGGAAAGGGGAAGAAGAAGGTAGGAAACTCGAAGAAGAGACTCGCACAACCGTCGAGTGGGGATGAGGAGGATTCAGAGGAGGAGGAGGAGATAATCCACCACCACCACCCCCTCCATAACCCCCACTACCACTACCCCCTTCTCCTCCGCCCCCACTACCCCCACCCCCTCCATAACCACCGGGTAGATCCGTATTCCCAAAGCCGCCGAGTCGATCCGTATTCCTAAAGCCGCCCAGCGGATCCGTATTCGCAGACTCGACACCGTCCTCCAACGCGCCGGGGGGCCTAGTACTAGGTCGGGGAGCGTGTATGGCTGAGCTTGGATCGGGTATGTGTATGTCGTCCTCTTTCTGCTTCGACGACGATGGGGATGATGGGGATGATGGGGATTGGGATGACGACGATGCGTGCTGCAGCGGCAACGACGGCGCCGAGGATGGGGTCGACGATGGGGTCGACGATGATGGGGGTGGGGATTGGGATTGGGATTGGGATGGTGGGGGTAGTGGTGTGTGTGGGTGTAGAGGCGTACCACCCGCCGAGTGTACCCTGGACACAGCCTGAGCACCGATAGAACTTGAACGGGTGAACAACCCCGGTCTTCTGGGGTAATAGTTGAACGGACTTGGTGCCCCCGCTCTACTTGTTTGGTATGATTGGTATTGGATGTTATACGCTGGAGTACCGGATCCCGACCCAGATCCAGATGCGGATCCAGATGCGGATGCGGAGGTTGTGGTTGTGGTTGTGGTTGTGGTTGTGGAGTGCGTCCCGTGACGCGGTGTCGTGGGTGTTGGTGGGAGTGTGGGACGTTTCTGGTGTAGATGAGGAATCAACGAAAGGATTAAAGGATGGAAGGATGGAAGGATGGAAGGATGGAAGGAATGAAGGAATGGAAGGAATGAAAATAGAGGAATGGAAGGAAGGGTGAGTGGGTGGGTGAGTGTGTGAGTGAATGAGTGAGTGAATTTGGGAATTGGGAATTTACGAATTGGGAAAAGGGAAAGGGGAATAAGTTATCGATCAAGTGGTATGATCCTAAAGATCCTAGTAAGAAACTCAAGTACTCACCGGGGCGAGAATACTCCCCAACGCCAATCTCAACGCATCTCTGGCGTGGTCGTGGTGCAGCGGCGGGGGCGGGGGAGTTGGAAGACTACCACTACCACTACCACTACCACTACGAGGCGGGGGAGGAGGAGGAGGAGGGGAATACTGTTGTTCTGATGGTTGTTGTTGTGATGGTTGTTGTGATAGTGGTTGTGTTGGTCGTTGTTGTCGTTGTTGTTGTTGATGATGATGCTGAACGTCGGGGGTGGAGTCAATACTGTAACCCATCGGGGTTACTCGGACGACGACGTCTGAGGCTGGGGTGCGTGGGGTGTTGGACTGGATAATGTCGAAGAGAGATAGGAGTGGAGGAATGAAGGAATGTTCAAATTCAAACGCGTTCAAACGTTCATCGAGGAGGGAAGGAGTGGAAGGTGGAGGACAGAACGAATCAACGAATCAACACGTCAACACATCAACACGTCAACATCATTTACAAAATACACACGACACGACACTCAACTCACCACCATCGTGAATCGTGGTTCGTCACCCGATCCACTATATCTATCACTATCACTGTCACTATCACTATCAGAAAGCAGAAATCAAAAATCAGAAATCGGATTGGTTTCGATCCTGAGCGCTGAGGCCTGAGCGCTGAGCGGTGTGGTAGTAGTAGTAGTGCTAGTGAAACCTTGAAAGCCGAAACGCCGAAACGCTGAAACCTGGTTGGGTTGGGTTGGTTGGGTTGGTGGGTGAGTAGGTGAGTAGGTGGGGAGGTGGGGAAAGGGGTTGAATAATTCTGAGTGGGACACTGTGGGGTGCTTTCTTCGTATATATATACAGTACATACACACCCCGGAGCACTCCCAGAGCACCCCCAAGCACCAGTGAGTTGAAAGTTGAAATAAGATAAAGGTAAAGGGTGCGATGAACTCTAAAGCTAGAGCTAGAGCTTGAGCTAGAGCTTGAAGAGGAATCTACAGGTATCCCTTTTTGTATGTAGGCAGAGTTGAACGTTGTATCAATTGTGATAGCTGGGTGCGATAATGATAATGATACCTGGGTTGCGAATCTGCGATAATACCCCCCACATTTCCCCGCATTTCCCCCCTACTTCCCCCACGACCCCCGAATCTCGGCGATTCTCGGTCCGTCTCACAGATTGGATTTTACACGTGATATACGGCAACTACATATGGCAACTGCATACTACCTTTAAGCACTTCAGATACATACATAGATTTTTGATTTCAGAATCTTAGAATCCAAACACAAATGCAAATACAAATGCAAATGCAAGAATGCAAATGCAAACGCAAGAATGCAAATGCACAGACAAACGCGGATTGACATTGACATAGACAAATGCAAATGCAATTCCCCTGAATGTGAATTAACATTGACATACCTCAGCCCAGTACTTTCTGTGCTCCCGAGAGAGATCGCGCGGGATTTGAGGATGTTGGATGTTGGTGGGGTTTTTGGAGGGAAGAGAGGTCGGGGGAGGGGAATAGGAGGGGAGGGGGTGGGGGGGAGAGAGAGAGAGAGAAGAGAGAAGAGAGAGAAGCGAGAGAAAAAGTGGGAGGTGCGGGAGGAGGTGGGTTGGTAGTGGAGAATGTTATTCAGTTCGTGTGTGGTGTGTGGGGAGTATACTAAGAAGGAGAAGGATCGTAGAGGGGATAAAGATGATAGAGACAACAGAGACAAGATAGAAACAATGGAGGAGACAATGGAGAAAGGGATGTCAGAAAGGAAAGGAAGGTCGAAAAGGAAAGGAACGTCGGAAAAGAAAGGGACATTGGAATCATCAGAATGGGTATCTATCTGGACAGAGGATGTTTGAGGAGGGTTTGTGAAATTGGGAATGGGAATCTGGAGTTGGAGTTGGAGTGGGAGTTGGAGTTGGAGTGGGAGTTGGAGTTGGAGTTGGAGTGGGTTTGAAATGGGAGTGGGAGTGGGTTCGAAAAGTTTGAAATGGGGTAGAGAGCAGGGGGAGGAGGAGTCAAAGAAGAAGAACCCCTGACTATCCAAGGACCTCCTTGCTCCCACAATCCCCATTCCCACACCCCACAATTCCCATCCTCACCCCACCGGAACCCTGCACCAGCCTGTTAACTCTCGTAGACCCTGCTCAACACACCCTCCACTTGATCTCTTTACATAACGTCCCCCGTTCATTTACAATGCAAGTCCCCGGTTTGTTCACAAGTTCCCCATTTATTCGCAAGAAAGCTGATATCACAATTTGTGAGTGGATGATTCAAGCTTGCATTGGCATTCTTGGCAGCAGTGGTAAAGGAGGAAGAGGTGGTGATGGTGGTGGTGGATGGAGGTAGAGGTGCTGGTAGTGATGTTAGTGGTACAGACCTCTTCACTCCCCCTCCACACCCTCCACACATTCATATTCCCAACACGTGGAAAACCCAAGAAACACTGGCTGGTGGTGTTGTTGATAGGTGATTATGTGGGTTTGGCTGGGGGGAAGATGAAAGGAACGAAAGGGACGGATGGAAGGATGGAAGAAAAAGAGGAAAGAAAGAGAGGGAAAAACAGAAACAAAAAAACAAACAAATCATATCTAGAATCAACGCTGTGCCTACCCATACCTCTCTCCACTACCACCTCCACCAGCACCACAACAGCAAAAACAAAAACAATTAGGAAAGGGAAGAAACGATCTCGGTGTTGAAGGATATTCTTGAACGACTTCCTTTATTGCAATTCATAAGCAGATAGTTTGGGTTCGCATTTCCAGCAGCAGCAACAGCAGCAGCTGTGGAGAAGGAAGAGGTGGTAGTGGTGGAGGTGATGGTGGTGATGGTGGTGGTGGTGAAGACCTCTTCACACTCCCCCTCCACACTCCTCCTCCATGCATTCATATTCCCAACACATGGAAAACCAAAGAAACACTAGTCGGTGGTGTTGTTGATGGGTAATTGTGTGGGTTTGGCTGGGGGGAAGAGGGGAAGAGAGAGGGAGAGGGAAGAGGGAGAGAGAAAGAAAAATTATATCCAGAATCAACACCATACCTACCCACACCTCTCTCCACCACCACCTCCACCAGCACCACAACAGCAAAAACAAAAACAATTAGGAAAGGGAAGAAATGATCATGGTGTTGGAGGATTTCCTTGAATGACTTCCTCAGAGTTGTGTTAGGTACAGACTTGATATCAGGATAAGGATTGATGAGGAGGAGTTTAGGGTGTTCACTCCCCCCTTTGTCTTGCCTTTGCCCTCCCTGCCCTCCCCCTCCCCGCCAACCTCTCCACAAAACCTGGAATCCTCTGGCTCACCCCCCTCGGCATTTTCTTCTCTGATTCACACCCGGCAATGTTTTGGGCTCTCCAGGACCTGACCCCGGGTCCGGGTCCAATAGAAGGGGTGTTGATGCGGAGCGTGACTGGGTGGGTGTGTGTGGTTGTTGTTAATGTCATAAAGTACGCAGCCCCTATCATTTTCCTTTTCTCACCGTCTCGACGCCTTTACTTGTACGATACATCATCCCATCACTGTCAAACCCCCATCGATTACTGATCCATCGATTACTGATCCACCTGACCCATCTTCTCCTTCTATTGGCTTCCGCCACCTTCCTTGTTCCTAAACTGTACAGTATTACATCGTTGTTTCTCGCAGACCGGATTATGTATATATAGCCAACCCTCCACAGCCTGGTCCCTTATCTTGACCTCTCTGTCATTATCTGGGACCAGGTATGTGCTTACTTATTATTACCTATGACTACGATACTCAATATATCTCTGTCATTATCTGGGACCAGCCTGCCGCCGTTCTGCTTAGTCGCTCCGCCTTGTTGCCTTGTCCAGTTGCTCCGCCTCACCGTTCTGCTTAGTCGCTCCGCTTTCCCGCTCCGTTAGTCACTCCGCCTCTGCCGCTTCGTGACATTAGGTCAAGATCCATTACTGCACTGACAGCCTACCGATAAGGTTGTCCTTGCAGGGTCTATAGACACCACGTCTTCCCCAGTTCCGCCCGACTCTGAAACACCTGTTGACAGTATAGACTGCTCCGCACTCCCGCACGCACTTGACCCCAGAGACCAAGCTCACGCCCATAACAACGACGATACTTGGCGCGATTGCCAGTCTCAACCTTGCCCCAACGCCCTTTCAAACTCAATCCGAGAGCCACTCACTGTGAGCAATATAACCTTCCTGCCGATTCCCCAGCCCCGATTGCCTACTCCCATCATGTCGACTCCTATCCCGCCTGCCCCAAACACCTCTGCGGAGGATCTCATGGCTCAGCTCATCAGACAAGTAGCTAACCTTGCTACAGCTATGGAGGAACGCTCATCCTCTAAGTCAAGCATGAACAAACCCGAGGTTTTCAAGGGTAAAGATGGCGCTGAAGCCCGTCGCTTCATGGCTCAGTTCCAGAATTGGGCGTCAGAACAACCGGATCTCGCCAAAAGCCAAGTAAAACTCATCAAGTCCGCCTTGGGCTTCTTCACAGAAAGTGCCGGAGATTGGGCAACTCCCCATCTGCTACATTTCAATGCGGAAAATCCCCCTTTCGGAGGAAATTGGGAGGCGTTTCTGAAGGAATTTAGCCAACGGTTTGAACCAATGGACCCAGGTATGGAAGCCCGTAGCGAGATCAAGAATCTCAGGCAAAGTAAAGGACAGACAGTTGCGGAATTTGCTCAGAAGTTCAAGGATATCGGAGATCGGACTGAAATGTCTGATATTGACTTGCGGGAACGTTTCTTCACCGCATTACTCCCAGAGATCCGACAACACCTCATCACCGTAAACATTGCCCAAGGAATTGCTCCGACTCTGAAGGAGGCAATCAAACGGGCCATATCGGTGGATGTCTACCTGCACGATCCCACCATGACTGGCCGGAACTCTGGATACCCTCCCACGCATACCGCTCATACTACCCCTGCTGACCCCCACGCTATGGACATTGATGCAACCCACACCAGTAATGGGAATACTAGGGAAGCATTCCTAGCTCGCATGCGAGGACGATGCTTCGGCTGCGGTGCCCAAGGTCATGTCAAGCAAAACTGCCCACACCGAGAAACCACCTGCCGCTACTGTGGACGTCGAGGACATCTGGAAGCAGTCTGCCAAGACAAATTCATGGGACTCGGACGAGACCGAGGCCGACGCCAGCAACCTCGACGCCAACAGATATCCGCTACGGGACCCGCGCCATTCTCCCTATTCCCAAACGAATCCGTCCAAATCGCGTCCTCGATCCCAACGTCTGCTCCTGCACCCGTAACTGCTACTACGAACCCCCCTAACCAAGACTTTTCCAATCAGATTGGTCAAATAAGGGAATTACTTGATCGTGCTAACGCTATGTCCTCCTCATCCTCTGGCTTTCAACAGGGTTTTTAAAGAGGGTACCCGCTTCGGCTGCACCGAGAGTACCCCGTAATCAGTTTGTTATGTTCGCTACTTCCTCGTATGACTCGCACCCATCATGTACAATATCGTCGATCCGGGAATTAAACTCTACTTCCCCACATTTCCGAATTCATGCGAGACTAAGAGGAAGGAATCACAGTATAACAACTGCAGCCATGGTAGACTGTGGAGCTACCGCCCTGTTTTTAAACCAAGACTTTGTCACCCGGAACCATGTAAGATGTGCACCCCTCCATAAACCAATCGACGTTTTTAATATCGATGGAACACCTAACCGAGCTGGACGGATAACCCATTTTGCACGTCTAGCACTCACAGTGGATAATCAAGAGCGATGGATGGACTTTCTGATCACCAACCTAGGAGGTGAAGACATCATCCTTGGACTCCCCTGGCTACGGAAGGTAAATCCGGAGATTGATTGGGAGAAAGGACGACTTTCAGTAAAGCCTCCTCGAGTAACGATAGAAGAAGTCCCAGACGAGGAGATCTTGTACTCTCATCTAGCCGCCACTCACACAGAAACCCCGATCCTCGAACTCCCGGAACTGGAACCTCCCGCAGAAAACCCCCACGTTGAGGTGCCACTAGAAGCGACCCTTGAACCGAGTGAATCAGCAGCGGTGGAAGAACCACCAATACACCGAATTCGAGCCAATCATAAAACTCGCCGGGCATGGGTAAAAGCAGGAATTCTAGAGGAACAGACGGAGGAAGTCTGGTGCGCCGCAGGATTCACTTACTCCCAGCAGCTAGCAGAGGAAGCCAACCGAGACAAACCCGTTAAAACCTTCGAAGAAATGGTCCCTGAGCAGTATCGTGATTTCAAGAAGGTTTTCTCAGAATCCGCCTCCGAACGATTACCTGCCCACCAACCTTGGGACCATGCGATTGATCTCGTACCTGGAGCACCGGCAACCATGCGTACCAAGATTTATCCCATGTCCCTAAACGAGCAGGAGGAGTTGGATCGTTTCCTAGAAGAAAACCTACGGAAAGGCTATATCGTCCCCTCAAAATCACCAATCTCATCACCGGTCTTCTTCGTAAAGAAGAAGGATGGGAAACTCCGTTTCGTACAAGACTACCGGAAACTGAACGAGTACACTGTGAAGAACCGATACCCTCTCCCATTAGTTGCTGACATCATTAGCCGACTTCAGGGAGCCAGATACTTCACGAAGTTTGATGTCCGCTGGGGTTACAATAACATACGGATTAAGAAGGGGCATGAATGGAAAGGCGCGTTCGCAACAACCCGAGGCTTGTTCGAGCCTAAGGTCATGTTCTTTGGTCTCACAAATTCCCCTGCCACGTTCCAAGCACTTATGAATGCTATATTTGCTGATCTCATTGCAGCCGGCAAGGTGGCAGTCTACCTAGATGACATCCTTATCTTCAGTAACGATCTCGAGGAACACCGACGAATGGTACGGGAAGTATTAACCCGGTTAGAAAAGCACGACCTCTACCTACGACCCGAAAAATGCGAATTTGAACAACAACAGATTGAATACCTCGGACTCATCATCTCAGAAGGGGAGGTGAGAATGGATCCGGTAAAAGTAGCGGCTGTTCGTGACTGGCCAGTCCCTACTAACCTTCGGGAACTACGAGGGTTCTTGGGATTTGCAAACTTCTACCGACGCTTTATCCGGAATTTTGCCAAAATAGCACGACCTCTGAACGACCTGACAAAGAAAGACACCAGCTTTACCTGGACTGACACTCGACAGAAAGCATTTGATACCCTTCGAGAAGCCTTCATCTCCGCACCGATCCTTGCTCTATGGACACCAGACAGGCCTACTCGAATCGAGGTAGACGCATCAGGCTTTGCCACGGGAGGCGCCCTTATGCAGAAGCAAGACGATGGCCAATGGCATCCGGTAGCCTTCAGATCGGCATCCATGCAGCCAGCGGAACGGAACTACGAAATCTACGATCGAGAAATGCTTGCTATCATTGAAGCACTGAAGGATTGGAGGAACTTTCTAGAAGGACTCCCTCAACCATTTGACATCATTACGGACCATTCGAACCTCGAATTCTGGCGCACTGCACAAGACCTCACCCGCCGACAAGCCCGATGGGCCCTCTATCTGTCACGGTTTGACTTTCATATGATCCACCGCCCTGGCAGAGTAAACACCCAAGCTGATGCTCTCTCCCGCATGGCAGTTCATCATGTATCGGACAGCGATGATAACCGACAACAGACAGTCCTTAAACCTGGCCACTTCGTAAAAATTGCAGCTTCGATCCTACAGAACCCCTTAGAGGATCGTATCCGGAAAGCCTCAGAACGGGAAGCACAGGTATTGGAGGGTCTCAAAACAGTCAAAGAGCACGGACTACAGCGCTTGGCCAATGGGATAGCCGAATGGGAAGAAGACAATGGGTTGGTCTACTACCGAGGTCGAGTATACGTACCAGCAAACGACGACCTACGCACTGAGGTACTCCGTCAATGCCACGACCATCCAACTGCAGGACACCCCGGACTACACGGGACACTCGACTTGGTCAGTACCCATTTCTGGTGGCCTACGTTGCGCTCTTTTGTGGAAAAATACGTGGAGGGATGCGAGGTTTGTGCCCGTAAGAAGATCCAGCGACACCCACGGGCCATAACTCAACCATTAGACGTACCATCCGGTCTATGGGAAGAGGTAGGGGTTGACCTGATAACACAGCTACCTAACTCCCAAGGCTACGATGCTGTCTTGGTTTGCACAGACCTGTATGGAAAACAAATTCACGCTATTCCTTGCACCAGCTCCATCACAGCCGAAGGCGTTGCCGATATTTACTACCGAGAGATCTTCCGTCTCCATGGTCTTCCTCTTCACTTTAAATCCGACCGCGGACCCCAGTTTGCAGCTAAACTCATGCGATCCCTTCTCGCTAGGCTAGGAATTAAATCAGATCTAACCTCCGGATACCGTCCTCAGTCTAATGGCCAAACCGAACGAGCAAATCAGGAAGTAGAGAAATACATCCGTCTCTATGTAGGACGACGACAAGACGACTGGGCAGAGCACCTTCCCATGGCGGAGTTTGTGATTAACTCACGGACTCATTCTGCGCTAGGCATGTCCCCGTTCGAGCTAACCTACGGCTATCTTCCCCTGTTCAATATCCCAGTGGGCCAACGCAGCGGTATTCCAGCTGTGGATGACCGTATACGGATTCTCCGAGAAGCGCGACAAGATGCCGGAGCTGCCTTACACCTAGGAAAGAAACAACAGAAGGAGGGATACGAACGCGGGAAGCGGAAAGCTCATCAATTTAAAGTTGGAGACCTAGTCTGGCTCAGTGCAGAGGACATTAACCTTCAGCTTTCCAGTGAAAAGTTAGGAGATCGACAGCTTGGCCCTTATCGCATTCTGGAGAAAATTGGCCCTTTAGACTACCGCCTTGACCTTCCCCTATCCCTAGATCGCCTCCATCCCGTCTTCCATGTTGATAAACTATACCCCTGGAAAGGTAACTCCATTAATGGCGAAATACCAACACCACCAGAGCCGGTATACTTAGAGGATGAAGACGAACCGGAATACGAAGTAGAGGAGATCTTAGACAGCCGGGTTCGATGGAAGAAGTTGGAATATTTGGTTAAGTGGAAAGGTTACGACGCAGGGCACAACTCTTGGGAACCCGCAGCCAACCTCAGTCGAGCACCAAAAATTGTTCGGGCCTTTCATAAAAAACACCCAACAGCGGCAAAGCCTTGACCATCGAGGGCAATGGTCATAAGGAGGGGGGTAATGTCATAAAGTACGCAGCCCCTATCATTTTCCTTTTCTCACCGTCTCGACGCCTTTACTTGTACGATACATCATCCCATCACTGTCAAACCCCCATCGATTACTGATCCATCGATTACTGATCCACCTGACCCATCTTCTCCTTCTATTGGCTTCCGCCACCTTCCTTGTTCCTAAACTGTACAGTATTACATCGTTGTTTCTCGCAGACCGGATTATGTATATATAGCCAACCCTCCACAGCCTGGTCCCTTATCTTGACCTCTCTGTCATTATCTGGGACCAGGTATGTGCTTACTTATTATTACCTATGACTACGATACTCAATATATCTCTGTCATTATCTGGGACCAGCCTGCCGCCGTTCTGCTTAGTCGCTCCGCCTTGTTGCCTTGTCCAGTTGCTCCGCCTCACCGTTCTGCTTAGTCGCTCCGCTTTCCCGCTCCGTTAGTCACTCCGCCTCTGCCGCTTCGTGACAGTTAAGGGGAGGGTGGAGGGGGAGGGGGGGTCAAGGGGGTCAAAGGGAAAGTGAAGGGGTAGGAGGAGGGGGGAAAGGGGAAGGAGGGAAAGGAGGAGGAGGGGGTGGAGTGGAAGGAAAAGGAAAAGGGAAAGGGAGAAGGAGAAATGGAATTCAGACAAATCAAAGGAAAGAACCAGGAGGTAGTTAATTTGTGGGTGAGGATGTTTTGGACCCAGTGTGGAGCTTGACATTCGGGGGGTGGGGGTGGGGGTGGGACTGTGACTACTACCACTAGGACTACAATGACAATGACTGCAATGAGCAAGTTAGGGACTCAATCTCAATCTCAACCCAAGTTTCAACCCAAGTCCCAATCCAAGTCCCAATCCAACCCCAATCCCCACACCCAACCAGGTCCATTAACCATCAACCAACTCATGCTCGATTCTGATTCTGATTCCAATGAGGATGGGGAGGATGGGGAGTTTCGTCTCTCATTGGATGAGGAGGAGGGGTCCGGGTCTGGGGAGGGGGAGGGGTCTGAGTTGGAGGAAGAGTCAGGAGAGGAAGAAAAGGAGGGAGAAGAGGGAGAAGAGGGAGAGGAAGAGGAAGAGGATGGTTCCAGTTCCAGTTCCCATAACAAAGCCAAAGCCAAAGCTGACGAGTATGATGACAGAGGTGGTAGAGGTAGAAGAACACGCTCCCCCCTCTCCCCAACACACCCACACCCCCCCCTCCTCTGTCCAGGTGCAATGCCGCACATTTCCTGTGCTGTGGTAGATATGGTTGTTGGGATGGTTGAGGGGGAGGTGGAGGAGGAGGGGGACCAATGAAGGGAGGGGATGACGATGGGAGGCCGATGAGGGGATAAGGGGAAGAGGGAGGGGAGGAGATAAGAGGGATGGGGGTAAAGGAAAGGGAAGAGGCAGAAAGCAAATAAAGATGAGTTGGATGACCTTCCATAGATACTACCCTATGTGTTTGACTATGTCAAGTATGAGATTTGTTTGGTATTCATATACATCCATATCTTGTGTGGGGGATCTGTGGGTGTGTGTGTGTGGATTTTCTTGATTGGGGTTAGGGTTAAGGTGAGGGTGAAACTCGGTGCTTGAGCATTTAGCGCTTAGGCCTCAGGTTGGAATCTGTATGTACAAAAAATGAAGACTTATATAGTGACCTATCACATCTTATCGAACGAGTTAACCTCAGCGTATCGTAGAAAGCTTGTTATATAATATATATACCTATCGAACGAGTTAACTAGCATATAAATAAATAAAGTTAGAATAGACAAGGAATATATAAGTAATGAACTTACCCTCAGCGTATCGTAGAAAGCTGAGGGCGGGGGAGTTTCTAATCTACTTAATATAAATAAAATTGGCCGTCGGCGAAGAGAACACGAAACATGAGATAAGGAAAGTAAGATGAAATATTTAATATCGAAGTGTACCTGACCGGACTCGTATCGCCTGCTTTGGCCTAATGTCCATATTCGTCTAACACATCTCATACATACAAGATATACAATATATCAACTACCCCCACAGCACCCCACAGCACAATTACAATTTGGATTCAGAATTGAATAACAGCATAACAGCAGTCTGTATGTTGAAGTCTGTCCCAAAGTCCCAAAATACACCCACAACCGCCATCCCAGAGTTCAAGACTGGTGCTGGTCACCATTACCCTGATCCTTGATCCTTCCAATATCCTCAAAAAGCATTGTGAAAAAAAGACTGTGTTAAGCCTAGATGTAAACACACTGCTTACTACAAATATATATAGTCACACCTATGATACATCACACTATATATAGTATCAGTTCTGAAATCAGACCTTACCCACTTTCCCCCATCTATTTACAAAGAGTATGTCACAAAGCAGCAGAGGTGGAGTGACTAAACGGAGCAGAAGAGTGGAGCAGAAGAGCGGAGCGACTAAGTAAAATGATGAGGCAGAGCGACTAAGCAGAGCATAGGCAGACTGGTCCCAAGATAATGACAGAGAGGTCAAGATAAGGGACCAGGCTGTGGGGAGTTGGCTATATATACATAATCCAGTCTGCGAGAAACAACAATGTAATACTGTATAGTTCAGGGGCAAGGAAGGTGGTGGAAGCCGGTAGAAGGAGAAGGTGGGTCAAGTGGATCAGTAATCGATGGGGGATTGACAGTGATGGAATGTGATTGTGATGAGATGATGTATCATACAAGTAAAGGCATCGAGACAGTGAGAAAAGGAAAATAATAGGGGCTGCATACTTTATGAGATTACCCCCCTTCTTACGACCATTGCCCTCGATGGTCAAGCTTTTGCTGCTGTGGGGTGTTTCTTGTGGAAGGCCCGAACAATCTTTGGAGCATGGCTGAGGTTGGGCGCTGGCTCCCAGGAGTTATGCCCTGCGTCGTAACCCTTCCACTTAACCAGGTATTCCAACCTCTTCTACTGGACCCCACTATCCAGGATTTCCTCTACTTCATATTCTGGTTCGTCTTCATCCTCTAGGTAGACCAGCTCCAGTGGTGTTGGTATTTCTCCATTGATAGCATTACCTTTCCAGGGGTAGAGTTTGTCAACATGGAACACAGGGCGAATGCGGTTGAGGGAGATAGGGAGGTCAAGGCGGTAGTCCAAGGGTCCAATCTTCTCCAAGATTCAGTAGGGTCCGAGCTGCCGATCTCCTAGCTTCTCACTAGACAGTTGGAGGTTGATGTCTTCCTGAGCTTTCCGTTTTCCTTGTTTGTATCCCTCTTTCTGCTGCTTTTTCCCTAAGTGCAAGGCAGCCCCTGTGTCCTGTCGGGCTTCTCGGAGTATCCGTATGTGGTCATCTACAGCTGGGATCCTGCTGCGTTGTCCAACTGGGATGTTGAACAAGGGGAGATATCCATAGGTTAGCTCGCCATTGGAAGGTGCTCTGCCCAGTCATCCTGCCGACGAGCTACATAGAGTCAAATGTATTTTTCTACTTCTTGGTTGGCGCGTTCAGTTTGACCATTAGACTGAGGACAGTACCCAGAAGTAAGATCTGATTTTATTCCCAGTCTAGCAAGTAGGGATCACATGAGTTTGGCTGCAAACTGAGGCCCGTGGTCAGACTTGAAGTGAAGAGGGAGCCCATGAAGGTGGAAGATTTCCTTGTAGTAGATGTCAGCAACCCCTTCTGTAGTGATGGAGCTGGTACATGGGAGGGCGTGAATTTGTTTCCCATAGAGGTCTGTGCAGACTAGGACTGCATCGTATCCTTGAGAGTTAGATAATTGTGTTATCAGGTCCACCCCTACCTCTTCCCATAGACCCAAGGGTACATCTAGTGGTTGAGTTACAGCTCGTGGGTGTCTGTGGATCTTTTTGCATGCGCACGTCTCGCATCTCTCTACGTACTTTTCCACAAAGGAGTGCAGTGTTGGCCACCAGAAATGGGTGCTAACTAGATCAAGTGTTCTGTGGAGCCCAGGGTGTCCAGCAGTGGGATGGTCATGACATTGACGTAGTACTTTGGTGTGCAGGTCATTGTCTGCTGGCACGTACACTCATCCTTGGTAGTAGACCAGACCGTTGTTCTCCTCCCATTTGGTGATTCCATTGGCCAAGCACTGTAGTCCATGCTCTTTGACTGTTTTGAGACCTTCCAGTACCTGTGCTTCCCATTGTGAGGCTTTCTGGATGCGATCCTCTAAGGGGTTCCATAGGATAGAAGCTGCAATTTTGGTGAAATGGTTGGGCTTAAGGACCGTCTGCTGTTGATTATCCTCATTGTCTAGTACATGATGAACTGCCATACGGGAAAGAGCATCAGCCTGAGTGTTTATTCTATCAGGGTGGTGGATCATGTGGAAGTCAAACTGTGAAAGGTATAGGGCCCAGCAAGCTTGGTGGCGGGTGAGGTCTTGAGCTGTGCGCCAAAATTCGAGGTTAGAGTAATCAGTGATGATGTCGAATGGCTGGGGTAGTCCCTCTAGGAAGTTCCTCCAGTCCTTCAATGCTTCTATGATGGCTAGCATTTCCCGGTCATAGATCTCGTAGTTTCGTTCTGCTGGTTGCATAGAGGCTGATCTAAAGGCGACAGGATGCCATTGGCCATCATCTTGCTTCTGCATGAGGGCACCGCTGGTAGCAAAGCCTGAAGTGTCTACCTCGATTCGGGTTGGTCTGTCCAGTGTCCATAGGGCTAGGATGGGTGCAGAGAGGCCTCTCGGAGGGTATCAAATGCTTGTTGCTGGGTGTCCATCCAGGTGAAGGATATGTCTTTCTGAGTGAGGTTGTTCAGGGCCCTGGCTATCCTTGCAAAGTTCCGGATAAAGTGCCGGTAGAAGTTAGCAAATTCAAGGAACCCTTGTAGCTCTCGAAGGTTAGTGGGGGCTGGCCAGTCACGAACTGCAGCTACCTTTACCAGGTCCATTCTCACCTCCCCTTCTGATATAATAAGGCCTACATATTCAATCTGTCGTTGTTCGAATTCACACTTCTCCGGTTGTAGGTATAGATCATGCTTCTCCAACCAGGTTAGTACTTCCCGTACCACTCATTGATGCTCCTGGAGATCACTGCTAAAGATGAGGATGTTGTCTAGGTAAACTGCTACCTTTCCAGCTGCAATGAGGTCTGCAAATATAGCATTCATAAGTGCTTGAAACGTTGCAGGGGAGTTGGTGAGACCAAAGAACATAACCTTAGGCTCGAACAGCCCTCGTGTGGTTGCAAAGGCCCCTTTCCATTCATGACCTTCCTTGATTCTGACGTTGTTATAACCCCAGCAGACATCAAACTTGGTGAAATATCGAGCCCCTTGAAGCTGACTAATTATATCAGCCACCAATGGGAAGGGGTAGCAGTTCTTCACAGTATACTCATGCAGTTTCCGGTAATCCTGTACGAAACGGAGTTTCCCATCATTCTTCTTCACAAAGAAGACTGGGGACAAGATGGGTGATTTGGAGGGAACAATGTAGCCTTTCTGCAGATTTTCTTCTAGGAAGTGATCCAACTCCTCCTGCTCATTTAGGGAGATGGGGCAAATCTTGGTGCGCATGGTTGCCGGTGCTCCAGGTATGAGATCAATTGCATGGTCCCAAGGTTGGTGGGCAGGTAATCGTTCGGAGGCGGATTCTGAGAAAACCTTCTTGAAATCACAGTATTGCTCAGGGACCATTTCTTCAAAGGTTTTAACAGGTTTGTCTTAGTTGGCTTCTGCTAGCTGCTGGGAATAAGTGAATCCCGCGGCGCACTAGACTTCCTCAGTCTGTTCCTCTAGGATTCCTGCTTTTACCCATGCCCGACGAGTTTTATGATTGGCTCAGATTCAGTGTATTGGAGGTTCCTCCACCACTGCTGATTCGCTCTCTTCAAGGGTCGCTTCCAGTGGCACCTCAATATGAGGGGGTTCAGCTGGAGGCTCCAGGTTCAGGAGTTCAGGGATGGGGCTTTCTGTGTTAGCAGCAGCTGGATGAGAGTATGAGATCTCCTCATCTGGGACTTCTTCTATAGCTACTCGAGGGGGCTTTACTGAAAGTCATCCTTTCTCCCAATCGATCTCCGGATTTACCTTCTGTAGCCAGGGGAGTCCAAGGATAACGTCTTCACCTCCTAGGTTGGTGATCAGGAAGTCCATCCATCGCTCTTGGTTATCCACTGTGAGTGCTAGGCATGCAAAATGGGTTATCCGTCCAGCTCAGTTAGGTGTTCCATCAATTGGTTCATGAACGGGTGCACATCTTACATGGTTCCGGGTAGCAAAGTCTTGGTTTAGAAATAGGGTGGTAGCTCCACAGTCTACCATGGCTGCAGTTGTTATACTATGATTCCTTCCTCTTAGTCTCGCATGAATTCAGAAATGTGGGGAAGTGGAGTTTAATTCCCAGATCGACAATATTGTACATGATGGGTGCGAGTCATATGAAGAAGTAGCGAACATAACAAACTGATTATGGGGTACTCTCGGTGCAGCCGAAGCAGGT